TGACCGCCACGACATCACGGCGAGAGTCTTCAAACAGAAGCTCACGAAGCTTATAGACGTGCTAACGAAGAGCCACGTCTACGGAGACACTCGCTGCTGGATGTACACCGTGGAATGGCAGAAACGCGGTCTTCCGCATGCCCACATCTTAGTGTGGCTGAAGGAGAAAATACGCCCAGATCAGATCGACAACATCATCTCGGCGGAGCTTCCCAGTCGAGAAGAGGATCCTCTTCTATTCGATGTTGTCCTCAAAAACATGATCCACGGGCCATGCGGACCACTAAATCCGAGGTCGCCTTGCATGAAGGACGGCAAATGCACCAAAAGGTACCCTCGGCAGCTGATCCGCGAAACCCAAACGGGAACTGATGGCTATCCTCTATACAGAAGGCGAAAGCCTGATGATGGAGGACACACCGCCGTCATTCAAATGAAGGTGGACCATCAGACCGTAGACGTCGTGGTGGACAACAGCTGGGTTGTGCCATACACTCCCTTGCTCTCGAAAATGTTTCGAGCACATATTAATGTGGAGTACTGTAATTCGGTGAAGTCGATTAAGTACATCTGCAAATATGTGAACAAGGGAAGTGACATGGCAACATTCGGCCTCGAGCATGCCACTGCACCGTTTGATGAGATCGAGCGATATCAAACGGGCAGGTACATAAGCAGCAACGAGGCAGTTTGGCGTATCCTAGGTTTCAGGATACACGAACATTACCCACCTGTCACCCATCTACATGTCCATCTAGAGAATGGACAACGCGTCTACTTCACGGCTGACAATGCGCAGGAAAGAGCTGCGCAACCACCTCAAACAACTTTGACGGCATTCTTCCTTCTGTGCCAACATGATCCGTTTGCACGGACTTTGTTGTACTCAGAAGTTCCAAGATATTATACTTGGAACAAGTCAACAAAGAAGTGGGCCAGAAGGAAGCAAGGTGCCGAAGTTCCCGGACAACCTGGCATACGTGCTGCGGATGTGTTAGCGCGTGTATACACTGTACACCCTAACCAAGCCGAATGCTTCTACCTCAGAATGTTGCTTCACACAATCCGAGGACCGACGTCATTCGCAGCATTGAAGACCATCGATGGAGAGGAATGTGAGACCTACAGAGAAGCATGCCAAAGACTTGGCTTGCTTGAAGATGATCAGCAATGGGACAGAACTCTCGCAGAAGCAGCTACGACAAGTTTCGCTGCTCAACTGCGAAGTCTCTTCGGCATCATCTTGACAGTCTGTCAACCGTCAAATCCTCGAGCACTCTGGGAGAAGTACAAAGAGGCTCTGAGTGAAGACGTACTCAGGGAATGTCGCAGAGAGGCACCCTCTGTAGACGTCGGTTACTCTCCCCAGATATTCAACCGAGCGTTGATACTGCTTGAGGATACGTGCGTGTCGATGACCGGTCAAACTCTCAGAGACCTCGGTTTGCAGTCGCCAATACGCGGAGATGACCAGGCACTCGAGAGCGATGTTCTCCGAGAGAGGTCCTATGATGCCGATCAGCTGACCAGATTTGTAGAGTCTAACAGACCTCTTCTTACGGAGGATCAACAGTTGGTTTACCGTGCTGTTCTGGACACGATTTCCAGTGGCAAGGGTGGGCTACTCTTTCTCGACGCTCCGGGTGGAACAGGGAAAACGTTTCTCATCAATCTCCTACTTGCCGAAATTCGCAGACAAGGAGGAATCGCAGTAGCAGTGGCATCCTCGGGGATTGCCTCAACACTGCTAGAGGGAGGCCGAACTGCCCATTCAGCCTTCAAGCTTCCTCTGGATATTGCTCATGTAGAGCACCCAGTGTGTGGGATAAGCAAGGGCACAGGGAAAGCCAAGGTGCTACAGGAAGCCAAACTCATAGTTTGGGACGAATGCACTATGGCGCATAAGAAGTGCCTAGAAGCCCTTGACAACACACTACGGGACATACGAGAAAGCGACACGCTAATGGGTGGGGTCGTCGTGTTACTGGCAGGCGACTTTCGTCAAACTCTGCCAGTGGTTCCGCGATCGACTCCAGCAGATGAGCTGAACGCTTGCCTCAAAGCTTCTCCTTTCTGGAGACATGTTCGATCGCTGAATCTCACGACGAACATGCGAGTCCACCTCCTTGGCGATGAGACTGCCCGAAACTTTGCGCAACAGCTGTTGCTTCTTGGCGAAGGCAGAATTCCGGTCGAACCAAGTTCTGGCTGGATTACCTTTCCTCCAGACTTCTGCAATATGGTTCAATCGGTGGGAGAACTGATCGAAAAGGTCTTCCCAAACATTGCCACCAACTTCAGCAATGGGGACTGGATTTGCGAGCGAGCAATTCTGGCACCCAAAAATGAGCAAGTGGATTCTATCAATGCTCAGATTTTAAACAGCCTACCTGGACCGGTATCAACGTACACGTCCTTTGATACCATGGTTCAGCGTGAACAGGCTGTTTACTTCCCCACTGAGTTCTTGAATTCACTCCAGCCCAATGGGATACCACCTCACAGACTTGATCTGAAGGTTGGTTTGCCAATCATGCTCCTTCGTAACATCAACCCACCGAGGATGTGCAATGGTACAAGGCTTTGCATCAGGGATCTCATGCCAAACGTCATAGTAGCGACCATATTGGCGGGGAAGTTCAAAGGCGAAATCGTTCATGTTCCACGAATCCCTTTCGTCCCCTCCGATATGCCCTTTGAGTTCAGGCGAGTGCAGTTTCCGGTCAGGCCTGCACTTGCTATGACGATCAACAAAGCGCAAGGACAGTCTCTGCGAACAGTAGGAGTAGACCTGGAAACTCCCTGTTTTTCGCATGGTCAACTGTACGTGGCGTGTTCGAGGGTCGGGAGTCCGGCGAATCTGTACATATATGCGCCCGAAGGGAGCACGGCTAACGTAGTGTATCCCAGGGCGCTAACATAATTGCATGCTGTAGTATAGTGCAGTATTTATTTGTTGCATGCCATTTCTATTGGAAAATCCAAAAAAATTGGAAAATACAAAATCCAAAAAAATGGCAAAACGAAAACCCAAAAAAACGGCGGCCAGCGGCGGTCAGGGCAGGTGGGTGGGACAAACAAGAAGCTGGACAGACCCAGTAGAGCTTCCCTCCTTACTGATGAGTTCCGGGGAAAGCCTAGGACCTGTTTAGCCAAACCGTCTGAGGGTAGGAACGAAACGGTACATCCTCATCTTGAGGAACGAAATGGAAGGACGACTATCGGTATCGGCTGCCTCTGTTGAGGACAACCATCGGTACAACCATCGGTTGCCTCCGTTGAGGACAACCATCGGTACAGCCATCGGTTGCCTCTCTTGAGGACAACCACCGGTACAACCATCGGTTGCCTCTCTTGAGGACAACCATCGGTACAACCATCGGTTGCCTCTGTCGAGGACAACCATCGGTACAACCATCGGTTGCCTCTGTTGAGGAGAACCATCGGTACAACCATCGGTTGCCTCCGTTAAGGACAACCATCGGTACAACCATCGGTTGCCTCCGTTGAGGACAACCATCGGTTGCCTCTGTTGAGGACAACCATCGGTACAACCATCGGTTGCCTCTCTTGAGGACAACCATCGGTACAACCATCGGTTGCCTCCGTTGAGGACAACCATCGGTTGCCTCTGTTGAGGACAACCATCTTTACAACCATCGGTTGCCTCTCTTGAGGACAACCACCGGTGCAACCATCGGTTGCCTCTCTTGAGGAGAACCATCGGTACAACCATCGGTTGCCTCCGTTAAGGACAACCATCGGTACAACCGAGGACAACCATCTTTACAACCATCGGTTGCCTCTCTTGAGGACAACCACCGGTGCAACCATCGGTTGCCTCTCTTGAGGAGAACCATCGGTACAACCATCGGTTGCCTCCGTTGAGGACAACCATCGGTTGCCTCTGTTGAGGACAACCATCGGTACAACTATCGGTTGCCTCTGTTGAGGACAACCATCGGTACAACCATCGGTTGCCTCTGTTGAGGAGAACCATCGGTACAACCATCGGTTGCCTCCGTTAAGGACAACCACCGGTGCAACCATCGGTTGCCTCTCTTGAGGACAACCATCGGTACAACTATCGGTTGCCTCTGTTGAGGACAACCATCGGTACAACCATCGGTTGCCTCTGTTGAGGAGAACCATCGGTACAACCATCGGTTGCCTCCGTTAAGGACAACCATCGGTACAACCGAGGACAACCATCTTTACAACCATCGGTTGCCTCTCTTGAGGACAACCACCGGTGCAACCATCGGTTGCCTCTCTTGAGGAGAACCATCGGTACAACCATCGGTTGCCTCCGTTGAGGACAACCATCGGTTGCCTCTGTTGAGGACAACCATCGGTACAACTATCGGTTGCCTCTGTTGAGGACAACCATCGGTACAACCATCGGTTGCCTCTGTTGAGGAGAACCATCGGTACAACCATCGGTTGCCTCCGTTAAGGACAACCATCGGTACAACCATCGGTTGCCTCCGTTGAGGACAACCATCGATTGCCTCTGTTGAGGACAACCATCGGTACAACTATCGGTTGCCTCTGTTGAGGACAACCATCGGTACAACCATCGGTTGCCTCTGTTGAGGACAACCATCGGTACAACCATCGGTTGCCTCTCTTGAGGACAACCATCGGTACAACCATCGGTTGCCTCTTTTGAGGACAACCATCGGTACAACCATCGGTTGCCTCCGTTGAGTACAACCATCGGTTGCCTCTGTTGAGGACAACCATCGGTACAACCATCGGTTGCCTCTGTTGAGGACAACCATCGGTTGCCTCTGTTGAGGACAACCACAATTAAAGAGCCAAAGTTGTTTTCTCTTTTTGAGGAATACAACTTCGGCTTTTTTTAACGAAGTGTATGTGGCGCCGGGCGGAGCCGGGTAAGCCAGCTAGTACCTATATAAGATAGAGAGAAGCAACCTGCTAAATTTCAAAGCGTATAATGAATTTTAAAAGAAACGGATCTTACCTTATAAATCAAATTACTTCAACTCATTACCAAATTCCTCATAATATTCACCATAATCAAAGCCATCATCATAGTATATCACACCATTATCACCAAAAACAATACTTAAATGCTGATCGACATATTTAAACTTTCCATCGCCCAAGTCATTCATGTATTTCTCCATTCTCGCGAACCACGCGTCATAGTCATCGTCAATGACATTGTTTTCGGTTTTCCACGGGTAGTCCTTATCCCAGAGGTTCCATCTCTTCTCAGTTGACTTATATTTCTTCCATATTGCAGCGACGGATAATGCTTCAGCAAGGATGATCATCTTAAAAAGTTCGCTGATGGCAAGGGTTTCTGGTGTAAACTCACACTCAGCAAAAAACGTTGCATTTGCAGATGATTGGAACAAGTCCTGGCTACTTTAGCGCTTCACAGAGGGATCGAAGAGAGAATGCACTAGCTCCTAGAATTGCTACAATCATGATTTTAGAGCTCAGTTTTGGGTAAATTCCATTACAGAGAAGCAGCTTGCACAAAGTAATCAAAGACATTTGCACTATGACTTGCACCAATATTTTTGATCAAGACGCAAACACTCGATTTTTTTCATCTAAAGACATAAAGTCAAAGAATTCGTTGCGTGATTTCTACAAACTGAGAACATTAGTATTATCAATGCAGGTAGATTATCTACGATGTTTAATGATTGGACGACTGGAACGTTTACGCTAGTGAATTAGCAGTGTTTGCCGTGTTCCCGTTTTATTGCGCATGTTCTCAAGCTACCATTTGATTCAACTGGCTTGGCATCGGCAAAGGCGGGGCTTCGTGACCTAATTAAGGCTAGGTAATGATCAGAGAGCACTTGCGCGAGAGAGAGGCAGGTGCGTCGCGGACGCGAGCGGCCTCAATTAGATCAGAAAACCCCGCCCTAATGGTGCCAAGCCAGTTGAATCAAATGTTATGTTCTGCTTGATTGGGTCTCAATTGCATTAGCAAAGCTCCTCGTTTTACTTACACGAACTGCACTTCAAACAATCAAAGTTTTTTCATTATCTACCCTAACAATAATATCGAGCAATTCAAGGACAACAGAGCTCTTTTGCCTGTACTTTCTCTCCCTTCTCTACCCCACTCCAGCTTCTGGCGAGGGCGTTAATATTAAATTTTTTCTCTAATCTTATCCATGCTTTCACAAAGAAGGAGTACAATGTTTGAGAATCGCTTCAAATGCGTATGGTTTCTGTCAGTTGTCTGACAATCATGGATTAGGATGACAGCTTTCCTGAAAGTTAGCGTCGATGTTTTTTGGTAGACAACCATGAATTTGGAGCGACCAGCAAAATCAGGAAAAGCAGTGCTAGAAAGAATAGCCACTTTCAATAGTCTGGGTGATCTTCGAAGTTCACCTGATCTGAACATCGACAATTGGGATCATATTGTGCTGCTAATGAGCACTTCGAAATGCATACCGTTTGATTCAACAAGATTGGCAGTGGAAGGCGACCGCTCGCGTACGCAACGCAGGTCTGCGTCTACGTCGCGGACATGCTCTCTGATCATTTTTTAGCCTTAACTAGGGAACCAGTAATTAAAGGTGCTAGATTGCATTCGCGCGCTTCGGGACCGCACCGCGGTTTCCCGCTATTTGCACATTTTTGTTTATATATTAGATAGATTTAGTCACGAAACACCGCCTTCCATCCGTCAATCCAGCTGAATCGAAGATTAGTCTAGTCATTTATAGTCATAGCTTGATATGGATTGAGAACAAACTAAGATTGCAGACTTTACGATTTTCTTCTAAATGCTTCTGCACGTATCGTCTGATTCACGAGTTCTTGCTTTTGGGCCAATATTTGTTGCCATCCGAGGTTCTAACAAGGTAAGAGGTTTAAAGTTAAAAACTGCATCACGGTTTCTGGAGTCCTTCATCGCAAAAAGTTTCGAAAATTTTGTAGAATTGTACTTATTCTGCAACTGCAAATGTTTTAGGAGCCATAGATGAGTTCTTGTCTGTCAACAAGTTTGAATCCATATTCCTGCCATATCTCTTTTTCAATGGCAGTGTGTCTAAACCGACCTAGCCTATGCGCTCATTTATAAGCTTACTTCACTATAAAACAAACCGTTATTAAAGTGTGACTGTGGCATCACAGTCTCAGACCTTCAAAGCACGTTTTCTCTTAGAATATATATCGCAGATTTCTGCTTAGTTTCAGTGGAATGTACTGTGTTCGCAGCGAGGAGTGACAAGATTTGCCTCATGCTTGACGGCCATGGAGAGATACATGCGATTTGCTGTGAATTGTGCTAGACTGCTATGAGTTAACCTCACGCTTCACAAGGATGAGTTCCATCTATACAACGTAGACTACTGCTGTATCCTATGATAATGAAATATGTCCAAACCTGCGGGATTTGTGGGATTCGCGGTTTCAGGACATTCGACAACTTGTCACCCTTCTTCCAGGCGCCAAGTCCTGTTAGATTTGGGTAGTTCAAAGCTGGATTTCTGTGTTTTTTTTTTCACGTAGTCTCGGATAAAATGTAAGAACAGCGGCATGCCTCAGACATTTGCATATGAAGTATTGCGAGCTTGGCAACTTCGCAGTTGGCTCTGCAATACACTCGAAAACCATTAATGGGATTTTTCTTTCAAATTTTCGAAGTTTGCTTCAACCACATTGAAGTGACTTGAATCGCGAATACGCCTTGTAGGACCTGGTTATTGATAAACCAAGAATGTGTGTGGAGTGGGATGTGTTCAAAAGTTAAAAGTTCCAGCTCTTGTAGCGGGCCTTTAGTTTTGTGGCTTACCTTTTCCTAGCCAAAAAGTATAGCACTGATTCTCAGGCATACTTTTACATAGAAAGTAGTGATTAGTATTGAGTAAATTTCCAGCAATTTTAAAAAGGAACGAAAACTCCTGGCTAATTTGCGCACAACTCGCTTTGTTACCGTAGCCTTCTGTTACTCTGTTTTAGTACTCCAGTAGATGCTCCTGGTTTTTGAAGACCGTTCCATAGTAGCTTCTTCTCCTTCTTAACCGCTACACAGCGCTGCAAACGCTACCATCTTCATGGACATCGTTTTCAAAACATCCTTGAGTTCAAAGCCAAATCTCGTCTCCCCCATCTCTCCCCCTCCCCCTCCCCCTCCCTCTCCTCCTTCCCCTCCCTGCCACCCACTTCTATCGATAGCCATCATTTCTTCTATTCTGAGGCTTTTCAAAAGTTATGAACGTTCTCTCAATGTTTTGGCTTTTCTCAAGTATCGTATAGAAGTTTCCACTTCTCAGTTCACTCATTATTCAAGCAGAAATGCTTTCGTGTTCGTAATTGAAATGAGAAGCGTCTGAGTCGTCTGCGTTGCGTATGCGCCGCACTGGTACCTATGGGAAGCTGGCCGGGGTCCATACTATATATCGTAGATGGCAGTATGCGTGATTATATAAAATGCTGACTGTTTCGTGAAAGGTCTGGTCTCAATAGGCAGACAATCAAAAATTTGCGTTGTCGGCAATGCGTCACAAAGCACAGTCCTGGGACGACGCGATATGGAAGCTCTCAATGGGCGATGGGGCCTCAATGATGTCTGGCCACCGACTGAATTGTTATGTAAATGACCGGTCACGCTAGTCTGACTGTAAAGGGTTTGTGGCTTTATTACAGCACGACATATGTGGTGTTTTACACAGGTGTAGGAGCTTCTACTCAGGTGATCGCCGGGGGCAGGCGGCCATGCGAATTCTGAGCAAGCGGGCATTGAAAAAATAGTTCGCTGATTTTTTGCGGTCCGCTTGCAGAAATTTGGAATAATTTTGGAAAGTTTTTGGACGAACGCTCGGAGAATCATCGCGGTCTTTCTGTGGGTAGGCTGCGGCCCACTGGCCGCATTCTCGCGGACTTTCCGCGAGAATGTGCAAAGTTGTTGGAAGCCACTCAGACAATCGCCGGGGCAGGCGGGCACCGGAAAAATAGTTTGCTGATCTCTCGCACCCCGCTCGCGGATTTTTTGGAAAGCAATCAGGACTTTTCGGAAGACCGCTTGCTGAGTTCTCGATTCCTCAGACATTCAGCAATATATCTGCAAAAGATAAGAGCGAAAAAAATTTAACAGGCGGTCTCTCAAAAATCCGCTGACTCAGCGAGCGGTCTTCCGAAAAATCCTGATTGCTTTCCAAAAGATCCGCGAGCGGGGTGCGAGAAATCAGCAATCTATTTTTCCGGTGCCCGCCTGCCCCCAGCGATTGTCTGAGCACACGATCCTTTGTGAAGGACCGCACTGCCCAGGGTACCTCCGTTGAAAGAAAGTACCCCAAATTAGGGTAATCAAACCATCGATGACACCTCTGCCACATAGAGTCTCACCTTTTCTTGGCGTACGCCCGAAACTGCGTAAAAAGAGTCCGAGCGCTTGCTGAAAGTTTGGCCAGCGTTCATTATTTGCCGAGCACTTGCAAAAAATACTGTATTGCTGCCCGCTGGCAGAATATGCGACCGTAAAGGAAGTGCCGCCCGCTGAAGTTCGGCCACGCCCCAAAATTCTGCTGACCGCCTGCAGAAAAGCCCGAGTTTGCGGACTGCTTGCCCCCGGCGATTATCTGAGTAGGTAGGGGAGGGTGAAGACGGGATGTGGGCAGGGACTGAAGCGGAATAATTTTCTGAGTTGTTAACAACTCAAATTGAGCGCACGTCCTACTCGCTAACAAGGAAAGGATACTTGGTGACCTTGGTCCTTTAGAATGAAACGTGCACCACTGAATGCATCTGGAAGTGCTGATTCCAAATCTGTTTTCATTATCTGCTGTGGGCTCTTCCAAAAGAAATTATGAACATTTTTTCTCAGTAAAATTGGCACTGTTTTTGATGCAGGATTCACCAAAATCGTTAGAATGTTCGCTTACGCATCACAAAAGAGCATACAGATAAAGTAAGGCTTCACGTTAAGTTCAGGAAAACTTCCACCAGTACATAAGAGTCTAAAAAGTTTGGATACTGACGATTTTAACTGCTTAAATCTCGCAAAATCAAAATGAAAAAAAGTCCAAACTTCGTTCAGGGAGTCACACAGCAGATTATAAACATAGATTCAGAATCAGCGTTCCAAACGCACCTACTGGTATACATCTCATTGCAAAAGGCCACGGTCACCAAGTATCCTTCCCTCGTAAGCAAAGTTTTTTGATAAAGAGAGGGAGAGATGCGTAGGAAATTTTCACCCCTCTAAACTACGCTCTTGGGTTTCTCAAAAAAATTATTTTGATTACCATAACCAGAAATAGACTGTCTGCTCAAGTAATTCACACATCAGTATCAATTTTTGTAACTTTTGATTCCTTTCCTATTGAGGATGGCCTCTAGCCCTGCCCTTTTGGAAGTCAGGTTGAAGAATTTTGTCAGCAACCTTTCAATCTATGTAAACGGTAACTCAAACTTGAGCCACTAATCACTCCACCTTTCTTGTCTAATCTGTTTAGACGAAACTGCTTTGTTTTCTATAAATAGTTCTCAATGCTTGTACAGAAACGTTCCGTCATTTTTTGTGGCTAAGTTAAACACAAAAACAAATTAGTCACATGCTCAAGCAAGGGAAAGCAGGTTGCGGCTTAACCTATTATCGGATAAATAGCTTTGGAACTTTGATATCTTGAGAATCATTCACATTGGAACCCGAAAGAGCGAGGGATTTGGGGGAAGGGGGAGGGTAAATAGGCAACAGAAAAAGCTACGAAACCCCATACGAGCTAAGGTTAGAGTAAAATATGACTAGGTCTTGATCACTTTGTTTTGATCGATTTTTGAACGTCTTTACTCTTCACCCACCCCTCCACCTTATCAATCTCAAAAACTTCTATACTTCATATATCGTAAGCTTCTGTACACATACAATTTTTGAGCGTCGTAAAACTTGCGTATAAAAATTGAACAAGGAACGCTAAAACCTCACACTAATACCAGGGGCTTCTTCTTTCTCAATGAAGGTGATCTATGTAGCGTAATGAATCGATTAGGTAATCTATTTGTTTCTAAATAATCAGAATAATTTCATGTTTTTCGTAAAAACTAAAATAACTTTGTTATTGCAAACTTTCCAAGTCTAAGACAAGAACTTCCTACATAAAAAGCTTTGGACAACATGGCATGCAGCTTCATTTAGAAAAATTTTTTGCATTTCTCTCTCCCCGCCCATTTCTTAGGCCTCGGGCATAGTTCACGCGATTTCAACGCCTCGCGATTATCCCAGCAAGACAACTGTTACGAGCCAGTGCATGTTGATCATCTCGCATTTCCGTTGTGAGCGGTAGTCGCGATTGGTCGCGTCGGGAAACTGTCACAACCGATTTTCAGAGAAATAAGATTGTGAAGTATGCCCGGGCCATCAAACGAAAATATTTCTCGGACTGCCATTGACTATCGCATGTACATCTAATTTTCAAGACTAAGGCTTTAAGCCAAATTGTTTGCGAATAGCTGATAATATGAGCGAGTTAGTATTGCTCAAATTACGAGGGACGCTCGGACCTGCTTTTCTAAGGGTCGATGCGACACATTGTTTTGATAGGTGATCAAACATGCTACTAGGCATGGTTTGTTTGCAAGAGCTATAGTTTGGATATGGTTGACCAAACGCGGCTCGACCCCATTGTTTAGAAAATGCTGTGTCATATCTCTCTTCTAGCCTATGGTGAGTTATCATTTGTACATTTACCATTTACAAAGAAGGAAAACTTTCCTTAGTTAAACCGCTTTGAAATCTTGTATGATTTACCACTTACAAATAATTCTAACTAAAGCAAGGAACCAAAATCACTCTCATATTCTATTATATATTTTTGTATATGACTAATACAATTTGCTATGGCTAACTTCTACGAGAAAATCAGGATATTCGACACCTACAATATTTTTCGGAAGGGAAAAATTGCATTTATACTGTCTAGAGTTATTTTTACAGTATCAATCTGGTGTTTTGCAAGTCCCTCGAATGCGTTTGAAAATTTGAACGACGCATCATCTATCTCAACATCTGAGCATAATGGTACAAGCCAAACTCAAGTCATGGATCCTTGGACAGCTCTTGCTATCGGTAAGTTTTTGGGTAACGAAAGTACTCTTGCGTTATTTCTGGTACTAAATTTTACAGCAGTCGATACTGTCATTACCAAACATCTCTGTACAAAAGACGCTCCTGGGGCAACATGCGATCAAAACGGGAAGTGTTCCTGTCCTAGGAAAACAAACTATTATCTTAAAAGATATTTCTTAGGTAATCTGTTATTATTGATGTTTATACTTTTTTGCATTACACCAATTTTTGGAGGAAAAAGTGAGTAGCGTGTGATCTAATCAGAAAATTTGTTTCAGGCAATGTTAGCGCTCCTGATTCCAAACGAAAAACTATGGCAAAATTTGTGGATAGTGGAAAAAGTGACTCAAGTTATGCTATGCGAGCAGCTGTTGCTGGATTGGCTCCAGGTTGTCAATGCTTTTGAGTATATTTTAGTAATAAAATGTGTAAAAATGCAATGATAAATGTAATTTTTGTAGATTCAATTTGCTATTCTGACTCGGATTGTGCTGGTTATCCGCTATCCTACTGTGACGGAGTTTGTAAATGTGTTCAGGGCTCACTGAATGCGGGATCAACGTGCATTTCTTCGGGTAAGATTACATTTTGGCAAATTTCTTAAAATGAAAATAAGTTTGATCCAGCGATGCAGCAAGACACAACCTGCCCATCTGGTCAAGTCCTTGTGTCAGAAACGAATGCATGCTTGACAGGTATTATGCTAATCAAATGATAGAGGTATGTCAATTAAAACTGAGGAAGACATGGCTAGCCTTTCTGAGGAAATTATGAATGTAAAACCCATGAAAGATACATGAGAAATACCACTGAATGTTAAGAAAATAAGATGAACAGCTCCTTAAATGGCGGGTAGACAAGAGAAATAAATTTGTGCCCAAATCAATAGAAACTGTGATGAATGCCTAAATTACACATTACAAAACGGCATTAGGGGCACGGTCATCCTAACCTGATGACCTGCTGATCGATGAAAAATTTGGAACTCTTCCGAAGAGTGCCCTTTAAGACTTTGAAAATCAAGGTATCAATTTTTTTTCTTTCTGATATCACTTCCTTCAAGAAATCGGCTTCTAGAGCCAATTACCACAGTTTTGTTGCTAAAAGGTAATAGTGGTGGTCCCAGAAAACTAGGATCGGAGAGGAAAATGCGACTAAAGGAATAGACGGCCGTTAATGCTTTCCAAAAATTTCTGTGGAAAGCTATCCAAATATGTTGCAGTTGCAACCAGAAATTCCAAAAAAGGAACGTATGGGCAGCCATTCGCTTGACAGCATGCCGTTTTGGAAAGCTAATTCAAACCTTTTATAGACCATGAAAATTCTGATTTTTTGGAATTTGGATGCATTTTTACTTACTTAGGATACTTCTTGCATTTCTTACTTAGGGGGCTGAAAGATTAAGATTAATTGACTTACATATCGAAGAGTTGCTGATGATTGATTTCATTTTGCTTTATTATTTTTTGTAGCACATGCATTACTATTTGTTTTCAGTAGTGAAACCCGGTGAGCCTTGCCAGTACTCACAACAATGTGCCGCTGGTGATCCAGGAGCATATTGCCTGAAATTAAAGTACGGGCATCAAACCAGCCTTGTTTGTGTCTATGATATACGCTAACAAAAGTTTGATGAAAACTTTTCCAGGTGTGAATGCTCCCTGGGAATGCGACAAAGCGGTCATACTTGCGCACCACTGGATAATAGATGCAACGAGCTTGGGAGCGTTTTCATACCGGAAATAGGAAATTGTCGACCAGGTGTGGGTAAATGCGATGCGAAATGTGGGAAAAAGTTACAGCATTTTCAGTGCTGTTCCCTGGTAGTCGCGGCTGTTTATATAATCTTCAATGCTCCGAAGCATTTCCCGAAGCCACATGCATTCAGCAAACATGTACTTGTCCATCACATCTTCCTGCAGCCGTCGATGGAACATGTGCGGAACGATGCGTTGCTGGTGAAGTGTACTCAAGTACTGCTGGACAGTGTATTCCAGGTACTCCGCATTTGGCATTCATTAGGAATCAACGAGGATAAGCGATCGTGAGCTTTACGCCTGTAGGCACGCGCATAGTTGGGGAGGCACGTGAGCTGAAGAGAAGTATCATATTTCTCTGCTCTATAATATCTGTAAGCCTCTTTGTCCTTCTTATCTCATAAAGACTCATGCGTAATACCTGAGCATAGTGGATTCTAGACATACAAGCTGAGATTTCCATTGTTTTACGTCCCCAGGGGATCAGCTCTTGTTTTCAGAGGCGTCTACACACATAGTCAATCAAAAGTAAAATTGTTCTGTGGATCCACTATGATACTGAGGTATAGGAGATGTAAAATCTGATTGCCCATGGCTAGCTTTGTCCACTACATGCCGGGCGGCTGGGAACGTTGGGTCCAAAAGCGCTCTAAGGCCCCCGCCAGAGTGCCGAAGCCACGCCAGTGCGCCAGCGCCGAGCCAGCGCCAAGCTGTCCCGTTGTTCGGGGCGGGGCTAGATGACCCTGTGCGGGCAAGGCTACCGTAGCTTCTGGCAAATTCGATCAATAGTCGGTGCATTTACCTGGCTGAGAACTAGGTCAGGCCCTGCCCCAACAAAATGCATATGTATCGATCGAAACAGCGCCGGGGCAGCTCGGCGCTAGCTCGGCGCTGGCTTGGCGCCGGCGCAGCGCTGGCGTGGCTTCGGCACTCTGGCGGAAGCCTAAGCTCGTGACAGATGACAATGAGCACGCACCTACTTTGGACGTAATGGTTTCTAGAGTCATTTTTACTCAAAAGATACTCTGCGTTGTTGATTACAACAGGAAAACAGATGAAATAATCTTCAGGAGTGAGCGCCTATTGTTCCTCGAGGCAACCGGTCGCTCATACTGGTATTCAATGAACTGTTATTCTATGCATAGCAGCGCCACAATAAACCCTCGGTATAACTCCAATGTTTTCACCAAGTCTGTGGTAAAATAGACCACCTTTAAACCAAGAAGGACCCTCTAGGGGATTCCCAGGGGATCACACAATGACAATGTCTTGCCATCCATTATGCTCCGATATCAAAGCATGAGAACCCTCAGGAGATAGATAGACAAAGAAGTAACAGATATTTTGAACAGTGAGGAATGGCATCCCTTCTCAGCTTCCCTCCCGTCCCAGAGAGGATGTGCGTGCATGCAGGCTCAAAACAGTGTCCAAGCAAATCTCCACTCGCAACATTAGACACTTATTCTGAGTTAAAAGCCGTTAGTTGCCAAATTCGATCCGCGCGAACCTCAATGCATGTATCCCAATGTCTCCGTGAGGGTAAGGATAAAGGATTCGGCGTCTTCAGTACCCCTTACGGGATGCGCCGAAGGCTTCTACTTCATGGCTGACTATGACTAAATGGTGTAGGCCTTTTATAGTAACTTGCGGAGCCAGCCGTTTAACAAGTCACTTTTATCTTCCCAGACTTCTCTGGTACCAATCTCTCGTCCAAGGAGGATAGAGGACCGTTTAACCCAGCGTTGGGATTAAATGTTTCCATCCTTTCATCAAAGAAGAGCGAAGGCAAACACATCTTTTTGTTTTTGTCCATTCACCGCAATTTTTCTATATTTGGCCTCTCACAGAAGCTTTTATCGCCAGGGCTAGCCTCGTAATGTAGTTATCCTCTCTTCTTTTTAAAGCATACCTTCCGCATCTTCTGAAGACGGTATTCTGTTACCAGTCTGTCGTCCACGGAGGATAGAGGATTGTTTGACCCAGCGTTGGGATCAAATGTTTCCATCCTTTCATCAAAGAAGAGCGAAGGCAAACACATCGTCTTGTTTTTGTCCATTCACCGCAATTTTTCTATCCTTAGTCTCTCACTAAAAGCCTTTATCGCTAAGGCTAGCCTCGTAATGTAGTTATCCTCTCTTCTTTTTGAAGCATACCTTTCCGCATCTTCTAAAGACGGTATTCTGTTACCAGTCTGTCGTCCACGGAGGATAGAGGATTGTTTGACCCAGCGTTGGGATCAAATGTTTCCATCCTTTCATCAAAGAAGAGCGAAGGCAAACACATCGTCTTGTTTTTGTCCATTCACCGCAATTTTTCTATCCTTAGTCTCTCACTAAAAGCCTTTATCGCTAAGGCTAGCCTCGTAATGTAGTTATCCTCTCTTCTTTTTGAAGCATACCTTCCGCATCTTCTAAAGACGATTACAGTCTTCACTCGGGCTGGTTCAGTGTCTAGATGAGCACTCCAATTGTGATACCCGGATCCTTCGCAGTATCCGAGTTTCGATGGCAATAAGCTTGCGCTTCGCGTTCCGCACACAGCGAGATTTACATTTAATCGTACCACTGCTGGCCAGATACCGTGTGTCGTAGTTGCCTTGAGTTGCGCTGGCTTCCTTGTCCTATACAAGACTTCCATTAAAGCCCTCCAATTCACCTATGTTGCCAAGTCAACGACCTTTTCAAGGCCCCCCCTCCCCTTTAAATTTTTTGATTGTTGGCTGCTTAGTCGAAGTTGTTTCTTGTTATCCACAACTGAAGCATATGATTTCTAGGGATTTCTTCCATTTTCTATAAATCTTCTGGAATTGAGCTTCAGCCTATACTTACTCTAAAGTTGCCTCAGACCTTGTTACTCGTATTCCAGTTCCAGATAGTTTCCGTCAAGACAATCACCTGCGTACAGAAATATTTACAAAGAATTATGCTTCAGGGTTCTATCATGGAATCTATTAATGTGACGAGAAGTAAGAAGGAGAGTTCGAACCCCACTCTACTCCAAGTCTGATTCGGAACCCCTTCGACCTGCGCGAATATCGGTTACAAACCATGCATTTCTACTCAATTTGGGGTGATGCGACCTTCTTTGAAGTCTTCGCAAATTACAAGTGTGATATAGAGTATGGTCGTAGCGCTTCGCCGAAAAAAAGGAAAATTGACAAAACTGCTAAAAATCTGTCTGGACATTCGTCAAAAGCTTTTACTGGCTTACCCTCCAGCTTGATTTGATTCAAATGAAGTCTGATTTAGTTGTCAACCCTAATGAGCTTTGTTTCTACTCTTCCCAGTGTCAGGCAGTCGAACACACAATGACATGCGACAGTGGCTTCTGTCGTTGTCCAAATGGATTGGTAAGAACCTAAGTCAACATAATTCACTTTCACTTGTTATGTTATTGAAGGTTTTCGCTGGAACGCAGTGCTCGCAGTCGTGCCCCATTGGCTACATGGCCAATAATAAAGGGATTTGCACCCGCGGTTAGTTATATATGTTTCAGAACGTAGCTTGAAACTTCTTTTACATGGCTCAGGTTGCCAAGGAAATCAGATTGAAGTGGGCGGTGAATGCCTCAATCATGCTGTTGCTGGTCAGCCTTGCCGTGTTCAAGCTCAATGCGTTGGAGGGTCAAGCTGTCTAAGAGGACGCTGTGCTTGCGCTCAAGGAACTATTTTCAATGGGAGCATTTGCATCTACGGTACGGGTTAACTACTCAAAAATAGGTAGTTCGGGTGACAGTCTCAGCTTCAGTGATGGAAAGCAGATAAAGTTTTACGCTCACATTTCAGGTACCACGGTGCCAACAGTCGGCTGAGAAATTCGGCTACTCAACTTTCTTACGCGGGACGGAATCAATAACTGTTTATAGTCAGAAGCCTGTGCATTAGATTAAACTCAAATTGTACAAAAGTCGAGTATCATTATTTCGTTGCTCCAATGCGACTCGAAAATCAAGCATTGGTTTGACTTTTTTGGGAGTGTATGAATTGAAGATACGAGGTTTCACATCTAGTCATTTTGTATATCGCACTTTAGAGGTTGAAGATGTGTTGGGTACAAAGTCAATGTCTTGTCTTCGTACCTGTCTGTGATGAATGCTCAAAGGGAGGGCCCAAAACTTAGAATATACCTACTTCGTTGCGTCAACTAAGTGCTAGTAAAACTCTAGCAACTGGTTTTATCTTAGAAAATCACTAAACTCTGCTCCAATAAACACTCATAACCACTCGCCCATGAATGCTTCGCATATACGGAGATCAGATTAGGAATCACAATTTCATGTTGCGATGGTTGCAATCATCTCAGGCCACTTTGAGCAACCGCCTCCCTTGTATGTCCGAAAACCCACGCTGGGGATCGCAAAAACGGCAAGAAAGGCTCTAACGCGGGAGGGGAATCAACAAGTGGGCGGGACCCTCTTTGTGAAGTCACGCTCCCAGCTTCAGGAGCGATCTTCCTTGGAGGATGGAGATGTTAGGGGAATGTACAGTCTGCCCCAATCCTAACCAGGCCAAAATTGGCATGGCGGGAATCCGCGCTGCAAGGGTTTTGCGCCCCGCCTACGCCCTGCTTGTCTGCTCTCTCTCCAATCTCTTCGCTCTCTTAGACAGCGCGCATATGCTGCGCGAACCCCTGGCGTTGAGAGTGCGCAATTCACTCCAACGGTTCCGCCTGATCCCAATTGGGGCAGACTGTACTAGTGGAAGCAAAAAGATCGCTCCGGAAGATGGGAGCGTGACTTCACAGGGTGGAAGACCCCGCCTACCCGATGGATCCTAATATCGTTAGAGCTCTCCAGCAGAGGTGCGATAGGTGGAGCCGGGCTCCTCAAAAGTGAAGGTGGTTCCAGTTACCACTGGCCGGCCAAAAGTGAAGGTGGTAGTGCCGGACACTCCCTCCCAAAAACGTGACCGGGGGGAGGGGGAGCATTAACATCGACTGAGCCTTCCTTCCAGATTATTGCCGCCAGTGCGCGGAAAATAAGCAAAACAAACGCAAAAAAGATTATTGAAAGCATATTTTTTATGTATACGAAGCGATTTTAGGTTGCTAAGTGACACCTGACGTTCAGACTCCTATAAATCTGGAATGTGAAGGTGTGCAATGTTGCGACTTCATAGATTTTGTAGAGTAAGAATTGCCCCATCGGACTATGCCTTAGCAGTACCGATCCATCAAGAAACCGCCGAGATTCAGGCTCTTAAAAAAACAGGTGAAAAATCGCTTTTTGAAATTAAACAGCTCATAACTTTTTAAGAGTTGCATGATTTATGTTGCTACTTGATAGATTAGATTCTTCTCATCAAGAGCTTTCAGATGATATAAGATATGTGGGGGTTCAATGATTTTTGCGGCTTTAACCCAGGGTGGAGACTTTTCACCCCAAAGTTTCCACCTCGCCCATGTTAATGTATTGGCCGGGGACCGCCAGTGGAGACTTTGGGGTGAAAAGTCTCCACCCCCGGGCATGTGCGTGAGAAGCGCGAAACCCCCACATATTATATATTATCTGAAAGCTCTTGATGAGAGGAATCTAACCTTTGAAGTCGTAACATAATTCATGCAATTCTTAAGAAGTTATGAGCTGTTGAAGTTCAAAAAGCGGTTTTTCACCTGTTTTTTTAAGAGCCTGAATCTCGGCGGTTTCTTGATGGATCGGTACGGCTAAGGCATAATCCGATAGGCAATTCTTACTCTAAACTTGTGAAGTCGCAACATTGCACACTTTCACATTCCAGATTTATAGGAGTCTGAACGTCAGCTGTCACTAAGCAACCTAAAATCGCTTAATTTTTTAAAATTCTCGTTCTCGGCGGCCACTGCTCAGATCGATCTAATTTTTTTCACTATCCCTAGAAAAACACTTGCCCTTCAAAACCTATGAAGTCACAATTGCTGACATCTTCAGCCACCAGATTTGTAACAGTGGAAATTTCGCATGATTTTTTCGCTTTTATCATTCGAAATTCTGGTTCTCGGCGGTTACTGCCTAGATCGACTTACTCTACATAGATATATGCTCTTAATACCTTCTCTTGCGTTCCTTTTGCTTATTTTCCTTCTTTTAAGCTTCAACAAAAAATTTTCTCAAACCCAAAAGTGAAGGTGGTCACCCTGTACCAGCTCAAAAGTGAAGGTAGGCGGAGACTCCGCTCCGACTATCGCACCTCTGCTCTCCAGTGTGGATTTTCGGAGCCAGCATAGCGATTAGGCCCAGGTAAGGAAAGGACATTGTCCTTAAATTAAGAGAGTTGATGACAATCAAACATTCGGTCCCTATTTTTAGCGACCCGCATGCTGTGGAAATATTGATTACAATTGACATCTATCTTAATTTATTATTGCATTCTCGTTCTCCTCTGTACTATGAACTGTATTAGTTTGAGAGCCACGTTCTTCTTATACATCCTAGTAGACTTAAGGTATAGAACAGAACAAATATGAAATTCATGTAGATGTGGGTTCGCCACTTCCTTGATGGCATTGGAACGGCAACAGACTCCCTAATTTGAAAAGTCAAACACGCTTTTTAGTGACAGAAGTTTTTGAAGGGAAGATATTATGAAGAAAATAAGGTGGCTGCCCAAAATAGAACAAATCATCTCAAGCTAAACGCCTGCGATCGTAAAAGGCGCGGTCCTGCCGATTACTGTGGTGTGTTGACTCATGCTCGTCAGCGCTGAGCGTAGCAAGTTAGCATGGCATATTTGGGCAACCACGCTGGTTATTAGTTTGACGGCGAACAATGTTGGGGAGTCGACTTCGAAAATTTTTTGGATATAGATCTTCTCAGAGACACGGGTGAGTAGCAAGTGTTACCCAGCTAATAATACCCAAGCTGCCGTTAGGTTCCTTAGCCAAGCCGAACTTGAGGCGTCATACTTCTATTCTGAATAATGTTTTTGCGTCATGTTAAAGTGGTTTCAATAGACACCGCTAACACTTTTGATGAATAGAGCAAATAAAGCATTGAAGTGGCTAACAGCACAAGGAAGCACCGTTTAATCTCGCATCAAGCATTGAAAGTATGGGAAGCAAAAACAATCAAGTGGCACAAAAGTTAGGACTACGTGGTATTTCTTGCATGCAGTGCAGGCGAGTTTCTCGCGACAAACCTTTGTTTCGAACGAATGCATCAATGCACATAGGGGAACATTTAACAGGGCTTATTGCTAAGATTTGTACAGTCAGCTTAGATCAGTGCAGAATAGCTGCACACAACTAAAAGCAACAGAAATTTTAGGTTCCCAGAGTTTAACATCGAACCTAAGCTTTTAAACACTCTGTCTCGTGATTAGCCAAACTCCAAGCAAATTTCTTTGTTCTTTGTATGCGAATCATCGAGCTGAATATCCATAGCTTTGCAACTACTCTTTACTTTTAAATGCAAATCATGTGTTCTCACTGCTTGTAGCTTTGCATAATCACAACACAAACTTGTAGACCTTCAATTGCGACATGGAAGCTGAACCCTAGAAACTAAAATTGGAGCCGCTTTTTGTGTGCTGCTGTTTTGCGCTGATTTGAAGGCAGTGTCCAGGCTAAATCTAATCCGCTCCGATTAGTTCCAATTCTGAATGTAGGCCCCAGCAAAGGGACATCTGCGTTGGTCCAATCCTCCTCTAGCGTTGTCTTTGAATGGAGATAATGGGCCTGGAACAGCCAAAGTGCTATTGAGCCCGCCCAGATCCTATCAAGCTCCGCCCTACCAGGGACTGCCTCCCGACACGTATTGACATGGTAGTGAGCAGAAGCTGCACATTGCACACTGCAATGCAACTGCACCCATGTAGTTGCAGCTGCTCCTCGCTGGCATGCCACGGAGACGAGCAATCCAAAACTCTTCCGCGCCCTCAAGACAGGGTCCCCAGGAACCGGCTTTGAGGAGGGAGGGGGGGGGGGGGGAATTGGACTTCATAAGTGTAATCAGGACTACGGAAAGGCCCCAAATGGTAGAAACATAGGAGGCGAAATTTTGAGTTCGCACTGCCTTTAAGCAGTGTGTGGATATCGACAATAAGTTTTCTTTATTGTTCCCTTATGTTGGCAGATGCCACCCTTAGCCCGTAGTAATCCCCACCTTGTGGTGGTCGCGACGTTTGTAACATCGCACGTACGCAGTACATGTCATTTCTGCCGCGATTCATCCGGCTCTCTCAGGCTAGGTTTATGCTGATCCGTAAGTTCCGGAACATTTCAGTACAGCGCACATTTCGAGCGCTGTGCTGGAACTGTTCCGGAACTTACGGATCAGTATGAACACAGCCATACCATGGTCGAAGAGTGAAATCGATGGACGTCGTGAATGTAGGGCGTGCTCGTCCGGGCGCATAGGACGAGCATGTCGTGGACGTCGTCACTTGCAGGGCAGACAAAGAAAAATAGTGCGCTTGCTTGGAGACGCAGGAAGCCTTAAGCGACTACGATCGAGTACGCCAAGTTCGTCCTATGCGCAAGGACGTAGGTACACATCATTTGATTGACGCACGCAAAATGGAATCGATATCAACAGCTGATAAGGGTTAGGCCCAGGGTCAAGCGTGGGGTGCGGCACGCCACACCTGGGGGGGGTCGTATGGAGGAGTCAAAAGGGGAGGGGGTCGTAGTTGGGTAAGCTGATAATAGTGATAACATGATATTCGTATCATATCCATAATTAGCATGTCAATTAACCCCTGTGGACAAAGTGCGACGAATTCTGAAGATTCAAGATACTCGGCTACCTAAATGAAATGGTCAAATTCCAACACGGTTAACTTTGTTTCAAAGGTGATTTAGCTATCCGTTTTGGCACTCAAGACAAAGCACTACTCCTTCTTTGTCCACCTCAGGAATCCCGCTTCAGAAGACTTGCAAACTGTGGAATTATTAGGGTGAACGGTAAAAAATGGGACACCTTGAGAATAATTGCAGATTTCTCAAGGAAGAAAAGTGACTGAACTTTCCAATTTTGCTGGATATTAGAATAAATTATTCTCTTTCAGATAGCACCTATATAAGGCCATTTATATGATTGATAATTTTTATACTTGCCAAAATGCAAAGTTAGTTACTTCGAGAAATTTTGAAGTTTGAGCAGTATCGGCGCAGTGAAACATGTGAGACCACCCAAAGTACCACTGCTGGAGAGGGTGGTGGGACAGTCACCAAACTCACGACGGCTTGATGGCTTTAACTCTTAATGTCAGGAGATATGCCCATTAACAGCTTCGGGAACAAAGATACGCGTTATTCAATTCTTTGCAGGTAAACACATGATTTCTATATATCATCTGATAGAGCTTTTTACGCTCTATCCATACATATGCAGCATACCTCAGATTTTACCTATCTTCGGAAAATATAGGGCAAAACATGATTTTTTGGTTTTTTGTTGCACTAAAAATGGCTACTTTTCAGGTTTTTTCGATTTTTTTTTCTGAAATTGAAAAGAAATCTCAGCATTTAACATACCGTTCGAAAGAGCATGAAAAGCTCTTTCGAATGGTATGTCATTTGCTTCACGACTTTACGGTATAACAGCGCAAGATTGAGGATTGTTCAAAAAACCCTGTTCGAGTTCTTCACGGCGCCACGTGTAGGGTAGTGGAAGAGGAGCGTTAACGCGTTGTCAGAATAATAAGCGAAGGTCGCCCATGTAAGCGACGTTTAAGTTGCCGCTTACTTGCTGTTGCCCGAAACAAAAAATTTCAAAATGTAATGAAAATCAGGCTGTCCCATTTTTTACCGTTCACCCTAATAGAAGCCAACCAAAATTTCGTTTTTCCCATTTTTCGCTTTTTATCGCTGCGCTTTCACCAAATATTACTTAGAGCTAAGAAGACAAATCAGGCTCCAAACAGTCCTATGGAATCTACAAGGTTCAGGCTATCGATTCATATAAATATTGTCCGCTAGAAATGTTCTTTTGATATAGTTAATGGGGTGCGGCACACCCTTTTAAAAGCTGCGGCTGCCGCAGCTTTTAGTGGGGTGTGCCGCACCCCCTTAACTTGCCTTCAAAATCCAGAAAGCGCTCTATTGCTGGTATGATTATTGAGCTTCTTCTTGCTACATTGGAAATTTGGAGCGGAACGCCCCGCCCATAAGAAAATTATGGCCCTTTCAATATGCCCGTTCAGATCAAAATCAGCCGTCAAATTACGTGTGATTGTAAAGTGCAGTCACAGAAAATCGGGCGTACAGCTCTCAGAAATCTGAAAACTCTCTAGAAAAAGATGGTGTCCTCCAGAAGGTCACACTTTGAGGTCTAGAGGTTAAGAGGAGGAAGAAGGGGTCGTTTGAGGGCTTTCAGGGGAGGGGGAGGGGTTTCGAAAGACTTGTGCCTGACCTCTTTCTCAACTCTGGTAATGCTATCTTACCTATATAGTTCAGGAGGGGGGGGGGGGTCTCATTGAGACAGCAACCAGGGGGGGGGTCGTAACCAGCGATCGTGTGCCACACCCCTTGCTTGACCCTGGTTAGGCCAGACTGCACGCCGGAGCGGCGTACGCAGCGTCTGCTATGATGAAACATACCAGCGTACGTTGCATATGTCGCGTACGCCGCATGTCGCGCAGTCTGGTCCAACCCTAAGCGCCCAAGTGTCACAGTTCTGGGCGACTTATTCCGTTTTCTGAGCGTTTCTGCTGCTATATTCTCTGTAACTCGAAAAAGGTGAGTTTATTTCGATTAGGAATTACATCAGAATTCGACAATACCCACACTATATTCGGCAGAAAAACGCAACTGACGATCCGCGTTTTTTCGTTTTTCTTCATAACTTCCTTCAGCCTGCATAAAATATGAATCCGAAGAAAGCTTGATGTTCAGCCATCAAGATGCAACTTCTTATATACTGCATTATCTTCCTATTCCGTATTCAGCCTACTTAAGTTTTGTGTGAGGACGGGTTTTCGTAGTGGTTTAATTCAGCGCAGAACTTAAATGGAAGATTATAAGAAACACTTCGGTAAAGCTATATATTGCAAAATATTGCGCCCATAAAGGTTTTGAAACCCGTTGATTATAAAAATACTGTTTTTTGTGCACTGCAATCTCATTTAGCAGTGAGAGGAATGCTGCGATACTACGCAAGTTCCTAAATTTGCCTATCGTTTACGCGTATCTATTGCACAACTTACCTACCCCTTTTTGTAATTTGAAGTCACTATGGAAAATGGCTCTTAGTACTGGTCGCCAAACTGTGAGCTTACGAACTCACGTCCTCATAAAAATTGTACAAAACTTGAAGATTGCATATTTTGGCCAATCGCGGCGAATGATTACAGAGCACTCTGATTGCAGATATCATGTTTATATACATCTGTGAATCGATAATTCTAATACAGCATACTTGCTTACCCCCTGTGCTACTGTAGCTTAAAATTTGCAAAGAGTCGACAAATTTAGTAAAGGTAATTGAATCTGAGAACTAATATTGTATTCGTAATCAGCACCTTCACTCACTTGTACCAATTCCCAGCCCGGTAGCTCAAAGCTTGCAAAAACCCGATAAATCGATATTGACCGATGACGAAATGTAGTCTACGAGAGCAGCCTTGACCCCTAAGGGTTGAGCCAGACTTCGCGGGGAAGCGGCGTACGCGGCGTACGCAGCGTACGCTCGGTATATTTCATCATAGGAGCATACGCGGCGTAAGCTGCGTACGTCGTGTGCGCCGCGCAGTCTGGCCCAACCCTAAGTTGTGTGCAGAGTTTGGTCTGCATTGGTTACTGTTACTATTGTTACTGTTATCATTTACCTGTACCATACTAAACGCAAGTGAACGTCTGTTTGTCATGTGTCTGTGTCTGTGTATATGCTCTCAACAGAAATGCACCTCTGAACCAATGCAGACCAAACTTTGCACACAACTTAGGGGTCGAGCTGCTCTTGCAAACTACATTTCGTCATCGGTCAATGTCAATTTATCGGGTTTTTGCAAGTTTTGAGCTACCGGGCTGGAAATTGGTACAAGTGAGTGAAGGTGCTGATTACGAATACAATAATGGTTTTCAGATTCAATTACCCTTTACCAACTTTATCGATTTTTTGCAAACTTTGAGCTACAGTAGGGTGGGCACAGGGGGTAAGCAAGTATGCTGTATTAGAATTATCGATTCACAAATGTATATAAACATGATATCTGCAACCAGAGTGTTCTGTAACCATTCGCCGCGATATTTGGCCAAAATATGCAATCATCAAGTTTTGAACAATTTTCATGAGGACGTGAGTTCGTAAGCTCACAGTTTGGCGACCAATATTAATAAGGGCCCAGCTTCAGCAAGCTCTGACAGCATTTCCCTAGTGACTTCAAATTACAAAAAAGGCAGGTAAGTTGTGCAACAATACGCGAAAACGATAGGTAAATTTAGGAACTTGCGTAGTATCGTAGCATTCCTCTCACCATATCCCTGCTAAATGAATTACAGTGCATTGCATTTACAGTGCAAAAAGCAGTATTTTTATAATCAGCGGATTTCAAAACCTTTATGGGCGACGTTTCCAGTCAATCTAAGATTAACAATATTTGCAATCTATAGCTCTACCGAAGTGTTTATTACAAACTTCCATTTAAGCTCTGCGCTGAATTGCACCACTACGAAAACCCGTCCTCACACAAAAGTCAAGTAGGCTGAATACGGGATAGCCAGATAATGCAGTATATCAGAAAATTCATCTTGATGAGCTGAGCATCAAGTTTTCTTCGGATTCATATCTTATGCAATCTGAAGGAAGTTATGAAGGAAAATGAAGAAAACGCGGATTGTCAGTTTCTGCGTTTTTCTGTCGAATGATTAGTGTGGGTACTGTACTTACTTGTATTTTTTCGTATATGAACTATTTTTTTCTTTTTATTCTCACATCGCATCCCATTTGCGCACCAAATTTTTCCTGTATATCTCAATTCCCGTATTTCTTCCATCCTAGCACCTTTTACGTATCGTTGATTCGTTGACCGCACGGACTGAACATCACTGCGGAGCACGTACCGCGAAGTAATACGCTTGCTTCAGTACAAATTCGCCACTGTAAGTCGTACTCTCGCCAGCGTTTTAGCCGCGCCGCGAGGGACTGCAACGATTGAGCGGTCTTTGCGGTCAACGAATCGACAACACGTTTGCTGATTTGCTGTGCGTTAGCTGTGCGCTCAGCATTTCCCTTTTGATTTGAGAGAGGCAAGTGCCTGGCGTCATGGCTGATGGAGTAGCTCATGTTTGCACTGACTATAGTACTGATTGTTTACAATTTTCAGCATAAATTGTCTAGGGGTATCATCAATATTTTATATTTTGCCATTCTCAGCGGAAAAATTCAGCAAATTCTGTTCTTCTATTAGGCTGGAAACTAAATTTTGCAACTGGTTTCATAACTTCACTCTCTTTGGATAGTACGCACTCAACCTTTGGCATTATGTAGAAGGCAATGTGAGCTACAACCGAGTACGAGTTGTCTAAATTTCGAACACGAAATAGAGAAGTTTTAGGCGTTTTTCGAAAACTAGTAAAATTTGAGAATTTTCGGGGTTTCAAGCTAAAATCAAGCCTTTGGCAGCCTAGACCATGCGCAGCAATCCAGATTCGTCTACAAATTATTGCTGAAGGTTGACTCCCTTTGGCCTAGTAAGAAAGAAACAAAATTTAGGAGCATGTCGAGATTTGGCGTCCTCATAAAGTCGAACGAGTCGATGTACGCAAGAGCTGCTGGGACGACCGTCAATAACTAAAGAGTCCGGAGCTCAAATTCCGCCGAGATTTTACATAAGGTTTATTTAACCTGCCAAACGCGAATAACATTCATTTGTTGAATCAACGCCTTTTTCCTTGCTTAGAATGAGACCCAAAATCGTACACCTACAGTAATCGTACAAAAAAGCCCTTATCACGCAATTTCACTATCGTTTTCGTGATCAGAATGTCGGATAACACCCCTATGCCAAGTTTCAGCCAAATCCGTCAAACCTTGAATTTTTCCCCTTCATACCATGCACCTACCGTAACCCTAACTGGCGACGTCAGAATTTGATAGGACAGCAGCTGCGCTTGTATATAGCTTACGTAATAACCAATGCAATGGCAAACTTTGAGTGCGCCATGTTGAGTAAGAGGAAAGTTATGAGACTAGTTGCAAAACTTAGTTTCCAACCTAATACATAAGTACTAACTAGCCAGCAACTTGCAAAATGTAGACTCACGTGGTATTCGAACCCGCCTCCATTATCAGCGAGGTTCTACATTGGCGCTGCGCTACTGGCGCATCTTGTAGCACAACTTCAGATTGCACCTTGATTAACAATATAGTGTAGGGCAGTGCATATCTTTACCACACATACACAGAGCCTAACACGCAATAAAGCTTGCTTATCGATTTGCTCCTAAGATTCGCAAACAACACTGTGTCTGTTGCATCTTTGCTTCGCTAGCTTTGACTTTGTTCTTCTTTGGCAAAAAGATATCAATAGCGCAGTGGCATTGCGCGCCGTCGATGAACACAAAAGGGTTCGATCGCGCGCAGCCAAGAAAGTTCTGCGGCGACCAAGGCATGGTAATAAGCAGCATGTACTTCAGTTGGATACGTAGACTCGCCTTATTTATATTACGACATATCTCGGGGGTTTACTACGAGCCCCTGAAACAAGACTCTGTCTTTTGAGAAACTCGCCTGCACCGTATGTAAGGAATACCCTGTAGTCTTACCTTGTGCCACTTCTTGACTGATTTTTGCTTCCAAGTGTTTTGCTTGTTACGAAATTTGAGTCGATGTTTTATTATTCTATTGTAAACATTTAAACGGCTTTTTTGTTTCATTCCTGTCAAAAGCATGATTGCTATCCAATAAACCATTCTAATGTTTCTAACATTGCGGATATTGGTTTTCTGAAATATTTGAAAGGGGCGGTTTGCGCATGCGTGCCTGAACAGATCCATCGAAGCTAACTGATAAACAAGTTTTCCTTGTGCGGCGTTTGTGGTCTCACATTGTCTTGATGTTCAACACAGTCCTATATACGACAATCTTCCATTCGTTTTGTATCAAGCCAAACTCCTTTCCTTACAGAAGTTCTATCCAAGCATCAACATATATCGCTAACCTAATTGAACTAAAGGTTTCCAATAAAATCGCTCGTGCTATCCGGAAGAGGGGCCCATTGCTTTGACTGTCTAGCTGTGGGTTATATCTTTGATATCACATTTTTCGAAACCAAAAAATGTTTAGTGAACATCTTGCACTCATGTGTTCCATTACATGTAGCTGAAGAGCTCCAACGAAATTGTTTTGGCGAAAGGTTCAAAGAAGTTTGATGAAATGAACGAAGATTTCCAACAGTACGCTGACTCTGACCAGCTAGAATACCATCGAAATGTGGATTCGGGGAACTTAGAATGCTACGTGAAAACTACGCGAAACATCATCTCCACCCTTTCCTCACTCTATCTTCATAACAAATCCGTAGCGGCAACTCCAAAGGGAAGAAATATTCACCGAACCTTGGATTTCCTAACTTTGCGTTTTGCTAGAGCCAGACAGTCTAACCTTGTCACATTTGAAGGCGGTCTCGAAAAGTAGGCTTGGTATTTCATTTTACAAAGTTTTCAGATTACATCCGAATTGGATGTAATCTTTAGAACAGTGTTGGGCAGAAGGAGCTAGTCGATGTTGCTGCTTATGGCGATCAAAAGTGCATTATGAAAAACATCTCGAGAAACAGACTCAAAGAACATCTACTGATGTATTCAATTTGAACGCATCAGGTGCATTCGAAACAGACGACAGACTTGTTGACATCGTTGCGGCAGATAGAACTGAATGTCTGTTTGTCTGTCTGTATGTCTGCATGTCTATCTGTCTATACGTATGTTTTGAATAGAAAATTCCATTTCTGAACTGATCCAGACCAAACTTTGGACACATACACTTCGTGGCGGGCCGGGTGTCGAGAGTGCTTTTCGTTTCGACTTTATCGACTATTTGCTAAGTTTGACCTACGGGGCTGGGAGATGGTACGGGGGTGGGGGGGGGGGGGTAAGTGAGCATGCTGATTATGAGAACATAGTGGCAGGGTATTGGCATATAGAGATGGGACTGGGACAGGAAATAATGCACGGAAACAGGGCATGGTGATCTTTGTTACTCAGACAATCGCCGGGGGCAGGCGGTCCGCAAACTCGCGTTTTTCTGCAAGCGCTCAGCAGAATTTTGGGGCGTGGCCAAACCTTCAGCGGGCGGCACTTCCTTTACTGTCTAATGTTCTGCCAGCGAGCAGCAACACAGAATTTTCTGCAGGCGCTCGTCAAATAATCTCTTTCAGCGAGCGCTGGTCAAATTTTCAGCTGGCGCTCGGACGGTTTTTAAGCAGTTTCGGGTGTACGCCGAGCAAAGGTGAGAATCTACATGGCAGGGGAGTCATCGATGGTTTAATCACTCAAGTTTGAGGTACTTTCTCACAGCGGAAAGCACCTGGGGGCTGCGCGGTCCTCCATAAAGGACCGTGCGGCCCCCGAAAATTTTGCATATTCTCGCGGAAAGTCCGCGAGAATGCGGCCACTGCGCCGCAGCTAATCTGCAAAGAAACCGCAATTGTTCTTCAAGCATTCGTCCAAAATTTCGCTAAAATTCTTCCAAATATCTGCAAGCGGACCGCAAGAAATCAGCGAACTATTTTTCCGGTGCCCGCTTGCCCAAAAACGGCATGGCCGCCTGCCCCCGGCGATTATCTGAGTAATTGTATTGAGAAGGCTAGGCGGAGCCGTATTGCCAGCTATAGGCGGTCCGCGCAAGACGCGGACAGGGCGCATGGTGTGTCTTGTCACTCCTCGCCGCTCGTTTTCTCTGCGCTTCTTTTAGTCCTAAACTGTCTTCAGTGGACGCAACAGCGTTGCTCGTCGAGCACCGCGCGGACGGCGACTATAATGACCCATGAGCATGACTAATGACATTTGCTTTTCCCTGTTTATGAGTTCCTTCATACTACGCCGCAGGACGCAGCGTGGGCGGCGTGCGCCGCAGGAATCGCTCTGAAAATATACGTTCGCTGCAGCGCCTTTTCGCTGGTTATGTATGTATGAACGTGAACGTGCAGGAGATATAGAGGTACATACATAACCAACGAAAAGGCGTTGCATTGAACGTATATTTTCAGAGCGATTCCTGCGGCGCACGCTACGTCCTGCGGCGTAGTATGAAGAAAGCCTATGATGTCAATCACCGCGATGCCTTCAAATATTCCTCGTCATCACAGCAGAATTTTTGCAGGAGCTTCTTCATGTACAGGCTATTGTTGTTGGCCAGCGTAGCAACAATAGTTGCAGTCCTGCAGGATTTGCTTCACCAATCTGTTTCAATTCGTGGTGTTCTCCGTTGTCGGAAAACACCAGAAACACCACTTATCCCCTTAGAGAACACGAGAGTGCAATTATATGAAAAAAGATCAGGTGAGAAATTACAGAGTCAAAATTTTCTATCCCTGTTTCCGTAATACGCTTTTTTACAGCAATTCTTGGAAATGCATTGATCGTTAGTAACAGGACGGATAAGAATGGAGCATTTTATCTGAATGGATCAACTTCTAGATTACTGCCTATTTCTCCGCTCCTACATATTGAAAGCGATTGCGATGGACGGGTCAGTCAGGGCCCGGCACGAGGTTGTCAAAAGAGGTTTTCGAAAACGAATTACCCTTCGACCCAATTTTTTTTACGATTTCGCCTTTGACCCGTAAACGGGATGGCTATGCTTGCGCAATACACACTATATCAGAACAACATTTATTTGAAGAAAAACACCATTTACACTCACACTCGAGCTTTGATCCAGCACGGAGTCGCATAACTGAACAATAATGGAGAATGAATATAAAACATAGATGGCTATTACTGAACACCCACCGTCTGCCTCCTATAATCAGCTCCCCAGCCTTTTACAAAGGAGATGCGGGTTGTACAGAGTCTAGTAAGAGCAAGCCCAGCTTCATAGCCTTTCTCAGCAGATTCAGCGAGTTGTGCGGCGAATTCGGCATTGTTGAATATTTTCATGTTGCAATTGGGAGGAATCTACATATAATTGATTTTGTGAATAGCACTATGCAAACGATTTGAAAAAGAATATGAAAAGATTGAAAAAAGGGCATTATTCAACAAACTGACTTTTATAGAATAAAAACGAAAAAAAAACAGCAAGCAGCACGCAATTGAACAGCGAGTGAAATACATAAGATTATCGCGAACTAACCTTGCAAACGGTGGTAGGATGCCAGCCATGGCGTTGATTGCAGTTAGAGTTTTGATAAGCTCAGCTTGTCATTAACTTGCCAAATGACAAGCTAATTTGGAAATAAGCTAAGCACGCTCTTCATTCACATAAGTTTTTCGTAATCTTTTATACTTTGTTACTTAGATTTACTGCGCATATACACACCAAATCTCGCGCGATTTCATCCCCTCTGCGTTGCAAACGTGCCATTTTTTCGTTTTTTTTTTGATAGCGGGAAATTTTCAGAAAAAAGTTTGCCACAACCTTCAGTCACAGAATTTTTTAATGAAACTCCTAATTCAACTCTTACAAGCTTGTGTACCAAGCTTCATACCATATCGTCATCTGCGCGTTGCAAACGAGCCATTTGAATTCACATCTTCATTTACCAATTTTGCAAAATTTTCGGAAAAATGCTTATTACTCGTTCCGTTCACATAACTTTTTTATAATTTTTCATACTTTGTTTCCACTAGCCTCCCTCCGTTCGCTTACAAAATTTGGTATCATATCGTTACGCATACATTGAGAACTAGTCATGTATGTTGCTACAAATGGCATCGTTTAAGCGACGTCGCGCTGCGGCAATTAGCGACGGCGCGGTTTGACGCGCGCGAACTCCAGTGTTCGCCTGTTTGAGGCGTATAACATGTTGAAATAAGCAGAGGGCATAAACTACCAATTTTTTCCCGGGCTTCGCCCGGGACCCCGCAAAAACGTGCTCCCTTCGCTTTTTATACCGAAAACGATTTCCAGCTTGTCATTTGACAACCTCATGCTGGGCCCTGGGGTCAGTGTCAGGAACACTTATAAATGAAGTGTCAAAATTGTTGGTTTTAGTCTCACAATGTCAAGCTACCCAGTTTGAGGACACATATAACGCGAAGTAAAGTAAGTTTACCCTATTGAATGTTTGCCTTTTTTGGATCGTTTATACCTAATTACCTTTTTACTCAGTTAACTGTGGACAACTTGAAGGCACCGTCCACTCAAATTCTTGACTTCCATGTTTGTCACTCTCAGGCCTTCTCAAGACCCTGATTTCGAATATGAAGTCGAGAGTCCTCGAAATCCCCAAAATCCACGTTTTGGAAAACCCCTGCAGCAGTGTAGCGAGGACAACTTGCAAAAGTGGGAGAGGCGACCACATGAGAGGAGTGACGACCTCCGGACACGCTCCTTACGGAGCGGATTTCCGCTCCGGAACCAATCTTTTCCGGTGCAGCTTGGGGGTTTGCCTAGTATAGAGGTCACACTAGTATTCATCACAATCTCGTCACCCCCCACTTTGGGTGGACGGTGCCTTTATAACAATGCTGTCTACCGAATGATTCAGTTTTTTCGTTTGTTCATATAACCGCCTCTGTTCAGTTTACCTTTCTTGCAGTGGCGGTCCCAGGATTTCGGACCGGGAGGGGGACGACAAGCCACGCACTCCAAAAAATTTTTTAGGGTGCTTCTCAAAATTTTTGCGTTTATATAACTCCTAAAATCTTGAAAAAAAAAGGGCGTCCTCCGAAAAAAAATATTTTACAAAGCTAATTTGAATTTTAAAAAATTTAAAAAATTATTTTAATTATTTACAAGAATAAACAAGTCACTTGCACATTTTTATAACCCACGTATAAAACTTCAAAAATTACGCGACCCATTCTCGGTCCCCCCCCCCTCTTGGTCCGCCACTGCTTTCTTGGTAAAATTTCCCATGTACAACTGGAACAATAGGGAATAATGGTAACGTAGGCAACATTCTCGACTATATCGTTTGTTTTTGCGATTTGAGCAAAAGAAGGCTAAAGCGCCATCGATTCCGCATTTGCTAAGAATAAAAAAGAAAATTCTTGCTTCAGTTCATGTGTTTTCGCAGAGTAGAACCTCTATACAAATTTTTGTGAAAATACGCATCTGTGCAAAGTTTGTATAACACTTGATGTGTTTTCGTTTTTCAGTTCTTACAAAAAGTATAAGACAATATCAAACACTTAACGGAAGCAAAGATCGGTGCGTTCCTCTAATAAACAGCGTTTACCAAAATTTGTTTCAAACCTTTCATTGCCTAAACTTTCTTTGTCTGGGCAACCTTCGAGGATCTTTATACATCATGTTATAGGATTGGCTCTAACTATGAACAGTAGAAAGCAATCATATTTTTCTTTCCAACAGTAGGGTTCCGATAATATTAGGTTATCGGATAATTCATGTTACACTTTTTTCTAAAATTTCTAGAAAATCCCAGAAGTTTTCTGATAAACCCAAATTTGCAACACGCTCAGGACACAGCAGGATCTACCTACCAGCATGGTTGATGCCGCAAGTGCACTAATGACCAATAAGTTTACGGCAGCTTTGTAAAAGCAGTCAAATTTTTCAGTTTTTGTCTGATCTTTTTCTCTGCATCTACTTGCCCTTCTCCTCTTCCAGAATTTTTCATAACGTATTTTGGCATTGTCTCTTACATGGAGGCATTCCGGTGCCTCTAGCGTTTCAAAAAGGGAGGGATGAAAAAAGATCCTAGAAATTTAAAAAGTTTCCTAAATTCTTCTTTTTATGTGCATCGTATAGAAATGAACACATAAAACGTAAAATTAATTTTTTGAAATTTTTTGAAGACGTTTTCTTCGTCAAAATTCTGATGATTGCAAAGATGGCGCACACTGAGTTATGAACCGCTCAGAAATACGTGTGCACACATGTCTGCGTTATCCCCCCATATTAGCTAAACGCTACAGACTGTGCCCTACCTGATTACCACATTGTCCGGTCTATCGGTCATCACCTGAGAGAACGCCAGCTCATTTACAAAATTGGGAAGAAACGGATTTTCAGCCACAAAGTGGGTGTTTTGCGCACGGATCGCAGATGCGACGGTACCCTTGTATAGGCCTTTTGACCCTGCCCAAAGCCGTGAACATGAGATCTTTCCAAAGCTTCTGAGATTTTTAAGAATTAAAATAAAAAGTGTAACAGAACCATTCATCAGCGAACCTTGACGTAAACCCTACCCTTGAGGACAAATTTTGAGCACAAACAAGGATTCATTAACAACAGAGTAAGCTTAAATGCAGTGTCCGGGGAAAAACTCGCTGAATAGGAAAATCCGCATTAGAAGGGGCAAAAACGACGAGAACATGCGTTTTCCAAAGCCTTACAATTTGAAATTCGATGTCCCCCCAGGCAGAGACGCAGAGTTGCTGTGGGACCCTATGATTTTATGATCTGTGGCGGCATGCGTACTCTGTCACATAACCGGAACTCGGACAGCTCGGAGGACCCCGCCCCAAGGCGTAAGTTTCCCCACTTTCTGGTCGTTTTTCTTGCGTTAGGTCGAGCATCATGACGTCGCACTTGCGATGTTGTGTCTGAGGGGGCCCACTCTCGCATCGCACTGAAATCCCAAAACCTCCATTTTGCCCGGACCTGCCTTTAACTTCGATAAACCTCACCCGGAAAGCCGAACCCGTATTCATCAACGACTCTAAGGGTAATTTATACCCTCGAGGGTAAACCTTACCTTGAAGGAGTGTCCGGGCAAAAAGTCGATTTTGAGATTTTGTGCTTACCAGGGCCTATTCACCATGGTGAATTCGAAAATTCACACTGGAAAGCGGGAAAACGGCAAAAAAGGGCTCTAACGCAGGAGGGAAATCAGAAGTGGGCGGGGTCTTCCCCACTGTGGATTCACGCTCCAAGCTTCCGGAGCGATCTTCTCGGTCCCGATTTCAAGTCATGCATTTGCACCTGATCTGTGCAGATCTCAGGGCGCTAGCGGTATTGAGAAAATCGCTTCAGAGCTGGGACCGCGAAAATCACATTGGGAAGACCCCGCCCACTTCTGATTTCCCTCCTGCGTTAGAGCCCTTTTTTGCCGTTTTCGCGCTTTCCAGTGTGAATTTTCGAATTCAGCATGGTGAATAGGCCCTGGTAAGCACAAAATCTCAAAATCGACTTTTTGCCCGGACACTGCCTTTAAAAGGCGATTAACCCATACTCTTCAACGTGGCTCGAAAGGCAAGTTTTTAACCTTAGCATAGAGCAAGGTTAAATTTACAGTGACACTTCTGCAAACACGGAGTGATCTCTCAATGCACTACTCAGCCTCGACGATACTGTTTCAATAACAAACAATACTTCTTATTATTATCTCAAGAAAAGAAACAGAGAATAGATGTCTAGACACAAGATATCCCACTTATATCCAGCGAGAGCACGCATTCTGTACACCGAAGCCATCCTTAATTAGGCAACATCCCCACCACTTTGCGATAAGTACTCTGAGCGGTGAAGAGGGTACGGTAGATCAGGGAGAATTTCACTATCACGTATCTTGAAACTCAGTCGGTGAGAAAACTATACATCAGGAACTTGAAAACCGGAATAAAGTGTAACAGGTGGATTTTGTCAAGTAGGCTTCGCGATTTGGAAAGTATACAACGAAGCGACCCAGATCTGTGCGAAGTTACGCGTTTCCCTGCGTTGGATTTCTGGAAAGCTCAGGGATATGGTTAAGTTCGTTCCAATAAACCACCCCTTCTTTTGTACATTTCCCTCTTTTTCTTTCCCGAGCCATTTGACGCAGTTCGTATTCCTTCCCGCGTTCAGCCACAGTTATACCTTTTCTGATGAAAATGTTCCTAAGATTGGACTGCCGCAGACGATGAGAGTTGGAGAGAGCATGAGACCAAAAAGTACGAGCAGAAAAACATACTTAACAAGTCTAGCTCTTACGCCGTCGAATCTACCCATCCGGTATACCTCAGCCGTCCAGCAATCAAACTCTAAGATCTCCAAAACTTTGGCGACCTTGGCTTCCAAATCCGACTTCGTTCCAAGAGCGACTTTGTGGAATCCGATCCCTCTATCTCCGTCAAAAATACACTCTTATCCCTTTTTTCACTCTCCAAGTCCTGCGCCACTTTTGCCTTCATCGTTGGGATCATCCGTTCCAGAATTGGGTTGGTATTCATCTCCAACATCGAATTGATGATTTCGTTCGCAGAAAGACCACCAAAGTCGGCTTCTGGAGCGTTACCATAATCCTGGATGTCGGAAAAGGCTGTCTTTGCTGGAGGAGAGTTTTCTTTTTACTCACGCGAACAGAGCTTGACTGAGTTTGACCTACCGGAGCGACCTGGCATGACTCTGACTATCGATTACCAGAATTCAAAAACTAAAATGTGAACTCTCGTGCTAGAGATTTTTCTCATCGAACCTGCAAGAAACAGAGATAAAACAAAAAAGCTAAGCGGACGAAAAGAAACCTGGGAAAAAAATGAGCAAGATTCAGAATATTTCCGAGAAGGAAGAGAGGAAGAGCGTAACTTGATAATTACAATGAGCAGCGATAAATATAAAAATTTTCAAAAATTTTAGTGCTGGATTTCATGACAAAGAAAATCCTGAGATTGCATCTCTTGTCTTTCGAGGCACGGTATTCCAAAACACGAACTTACTTCTACAAAAATAAAGGCACTTGTAATAAATCTTAAAGGAAAGGCTTTTAAAAGGTATACCAAGTTTTCTGTGAAGAATGTTCCCTTCTTTGTAAAAATTGTTTCAAGGAAAGAGGTTTGGAAAGCTGTATCGATGTGCTTCAATCTAATGTAAATAAACTCGATTTTACTGAAATAATGGGATCTCTAGGCCTGATGAGCACAATAAAACAAAAAGCGCGTCAAAAATAGAATTGGAAGTATTTAGGCAGATTCCTTTCAAGAACCCCGTATATATATAAATTTTGTGGCATGCTGATTACGCATCTTATAATCTTAAGTTTCAATGCCGCCCTCTTACATCAGTTTCCTTATTTTTACGATCCTACCGTACTACTATGAGACAGTAGTGAACAAAATGGACGCTATAATGATGTGCAACGTGTTAATGCAAAAAAAGACCTGGTCTGAAACGGCAGTAAGCGAAAAACTGGCCTTGCCGCGAATGTGTTATAATAGGCAAGATGAACTCTGATTTATGGCATTGCCATGGCATTTCGTAATCCTGGCAGAGCAGCTGCAATTTTCCTCTTAGTTTCAGCGTACTGCAATGAACTTGTGACTATCAATACTTATTAATATTTGACTCAACCACTTTTTTATCTTCGCCCAAAAAAGGATAGAAGAATTAGTGGAATCGCGCCAAATTTGGAGCACATAGAGCATGGGTGGGGCATGTGTTAATAGACCATTTCACTCGGGACTCACCGATTGCTCCTATCGATTTATTGAATTTTTGCAGTTTTTGCTTGGCAGCTTTATAATGACCGGTTCAAAATATTACAGAGAATTATGAAGTCTGAACCAAATTTCGTTAACATGCGGGCGGGAGGGCCAAATGACTAAGATTTCACTTTTCGTACTACAGGGAAAAGTGCAAGATTTACGAGGCAGCGAAGCTGCCGAGTACAAGCTGAACGTGCCGCGTAACAGCAGAGAGCGGCTGGTAATCAACATTCAATACGGTTCGTAATTCATGAAAAGAGCGGCTTGGCGGCCGCGGGGTTTGTCGTCGTATCGTCATATCTTGCTTGTTGGAGAGTAAATGAATTCATCCAAGCACTATCACACAGCTCAACAAGATGCATTTTCTGTTATATAGAAATGCGTGCTGGTCACGGTAGCAACGCTTTAGGTATATAGTCTACTCCAAACGGGATCAGGCTGAACTGTCGGCTGAACTGTAATTTTCTGCGCGCTTGCATCGCCAAGCGTTTGCGCTGCATATGCGCGCTGTCGGATAGAGCGAGAGGATTAAAGAGAGAGCAGAGAAGCAAGCCGTGGGCGTTACAGCAAACTCTAGCAACGCGGACTCACGCCATGCCGATTTTGGCCTGGTTGGGAGGGCAGATGGTAGGTAGCACCTTAATTGCAGACACCTATGTAACCTTTGATTCAACTGGCTTGGCACCATTAGGGCGGGGTTTTGCGATCTTGAGGCCGTTCGCGCCCGCGACGCCCTGCGTCTCTCTCGCGCTAGTGCTCTCTGATCATTAGCTAGCCTTAATTAGGTCATTAAGCCCCTCCTTTACCGATGCCAAGCCAGTTGAATCAAATGATATGTAATGTAATAAACACACCTAGTAACCTACGTAAGCAATAATCTGGTAAGGTTTGTAAAGTCTATAGTCGCTTCCTACAGTCACATCTATACGTATACGAAGATGCATCTTGTCAACTAGTGAAAGATGACCTCGGATCCCGATTTAGTTCACTCGAATCAGTGGTGCGTAATTTTGCAAATTTCGGCGGATGGAATCCTTTTTTCTTAGACTGTTAAGACACCCATCTCACTGCAGGACAATGAGAAGAGATCTGTTGTGCTCAAAATTGAGTTGGAGTTCAATCAGGAACTATTGTGTCTTGCAAAATAAAGCTCAGGTGTTTGAGTCAAATGCGGTGATTTTGCACAGCTGAAGAGTAATGTGGAATTTTAAGCTACCTACTTGAGGAGGAATTACGACTTTTCAAGCAGTTCTGATCTTTCTGTAACTCCTATTAATATCAGTAAGTAACTTCCATGTTTCCTCCTTTCTTAACCTCGTGCTGGCATACTAACTACTCACCCTATTAATATCATTTTTTTCCGTCTGAGATGACAACGTCAAAGAACCCGACTACTTGTTTTAGTCGCATATATGATGTGGTGCGAAAATTTGTGGTATGACTTTTGAGAAGCTGTGTATGAAAGTATATGAAAAGCTGCAGAATAAGAGAATTCTACAAAATTGTTTCTTTGCACGAGCTCATAATCTTGCTCTACGCTATTCCTTCTTATGAGTGGCACTCTCCGTTGCAGGCGGCAAAGCGCACGGTAAATATCGGCGTAATACACCTCTAATACTACGAGCTCTGGAAGGTCGATGAATGAATGGACAAAGATTTTCTCAAAAACGTAATGAATTTTTCTGGATTTTGTGACAATTGTTTGTTTGTTCTTTGAGGTATTCGACTCATAGTTCACACACTGTTTTGTTATTTCACTCGCAGCTGTCTTGTCGCAATCGAATAGCATTCGTCTTTATCTCTAATTTCCGAAATGCGATAGTTTACTTGTCAAAACAGTGGCCTAGCAATGTTTGGTGGATTAGTACATTGGCAAGGCTTGGATCACAGCCAGCAAGATAGCTGGGAGCTCATGTAGAATAAAATCTTTATTCAAAAGCTGCTTTCGGATTATAAGAGGTTAAATCTTGTTGTATTTCTTTTGCAACAATGTAAATTATTAGCTCTAAAGAAAGTTTTTTCATGCAAACCCTTGAAGAAGACAAGAAAGTAATGTAATACGATTATCTTTTGACAAATGTAATTGCTATAGGTTTTTCGAAAAACTGATGAGGGTGCTTATCCGTGACTCCTGAAAAATTCGAGATCAATGATTACATGTCGGGAACATACACAACCTACACGCCTGTCAATGTACGGGTTATTCGGTCATTTACTATTCTTTTGTATCGCATCTGGTTTGCTGGATCAACGTAACTGAAGGCATCTACGAGATTTTTCTACTACTGATGTCATGGTTGTTTCGCCATACCGTATTTGGAAGTGCATGCCATCTTCTACTGTTGTGTTTAGTGGAAACAACCATAGGCCCCAACCGAATACCTAAACTCAAACCCGTAGATTTGGATAGGCATGGTTTTCGTGACCTGCTGAAAATTGTTCCGCCTGCCCATGTTGTAGTCAGCTTTGAAATCAAATCTGAAAGTAAGTCAAATTAAACAGCAATCTTCTTACATTAAAGCTTGCAGCATGCTTCAAGTTAGCAGGCTTAGCTTGTTCACAAGTGGTTTCGTTGATAGATAATAAACCAAAGTGAAATATGACCATTTCACCCAATGGATAGTAACTAAATAATGCTAATATGTTACAAAAATACCCAAAGATAAAGAAAATACCCGAAAACGCCGTATGTTCCTAGAACAAGAATAACTTGCCCCAAAGGAATGGCATCTTCAAGGAAATTTTTGTTCAAGACAAATCGTACAAAGCATTCTAGTGATGTTACCACAAACCTGGAATTATCAAATGACTTTCAGCGCAAATACAGAGTGCACTCTTATCTCGTCCTCCTTAGCTCTGTCCTTTTTAAGCAAGGCATTGCATTTGAAGAGACACGAAAGTAATTCTTGCGCAACAGCAACATAGAGGACAGAATCAACATGCTTGCTTATCATGCATACTAACTCTTAAGTCTAAATTCTATTCAAGGTTTGGAAAAGCCAGTATATTGATGAAGTCCAGTCTAAATTGTCGTTTTCGTGATCAGATGTTCATTTACCATTTTTCCACGGATGTTACGCCACTAGCTCAAAAGAGACAAGCGACAACAGTTGGCTTGTCTTCTTTTGTAAAAACCACGGCATCGTGAAGGTGTGTGTTTTGTTTTCTTATGCCATACGAGGTTGGTGAAACTCCTATTGCCGCCTTAGGCCCCGGGCACACTTCACGTGATTTGATCGTCGCGACTGAATCGCGACGAAACAACTGCTACAACATCATTTCATGCCGATCAACTTGCATTTCGGTTGTGATACTTTTCCAGCCCGAAATTTTTGAATGTGAAATGAAAATGAATGGAAATGTCGGCGATTGAGTCGCGACGATCAAATCGCGTGAACTCTGTCCGGGGCCTTAAGGGCAGGGCATACTTCACGCGATTTCAGTCCCGACGCGATTTGGCAATATTCCAACTGTCCATAACTCACTGTAAGCAGATTTCAAATGTACAGAAGATAGGGCATTTCATCAATCGACGTAAGATATACACACTATGCATGTGCAGTTTGCTAGTGTTGGATTTGAAGACTTTTGGCCTAAGGTATACCTCGCGCGATTGCGGTCGCTGCGCGATCTGACACATCAGCGACTCATCGTAATTCGTCGTTAATGCGCTGTCTTTCGTCAGAACTTGCTCCATTTGCAACAACTTACACAAGCTACCCAAATGTGCATCTGAGAAGCGCGCACGATAAATTTCTAGAAATCTGGCAAACCGCCAAGTTGCGTGAAAGTGGCAATTTGGCCGAATCGCGTGGGGTATGCCTCAAGCCTTTGGAGAAAGCCAAATCGCGAAGTATGCTCAGCCCCTCGCGTTTCGATTTATCATCGTCTAGTAGTGCACTATTGAAACCAAAGGACGTGGTTGCACACCATCAGTGCTCCAACGTGAAGCGAACCAAAGGCCTCTGAAGACGACGATAAGTCGAAACATAAGGCCGTAATAAAGAGCTTCACCGAACGTCGTATGGCATAAGAAAACAAAATACACAAACAACAACACTCATATACATCGCAGTCCCTTAACACATTCACGACAATACCACCCACGTTGTGCCGTAAGATTGCTGAAGCTCTATTTTAGCCAATTTAAGAAGGAATTCTACGGGGTTCTGGCACATAATTGGGGACACCTTGGCGAAGCTTCAGACGGAATGTTCCGGTTCGGGATACTGTAGTGTAGTATTACGGTAGGTATACCGTAGAAAAAGGTACGGCAGAGACTTTAGCTGAAATTTTTGCAGATTGGTGCTGTTTTTGAAAATTCAAGTTTGCATGATGCGGGGAGGGCACGAAACTGATGTTAGCCCTTCAAAAAATTATCGATTTTATCATTTTAAGAATTTTTTCCATTGTTCATCCCGGGAATCTTAATCCTTACATATATAGGTTTTCTAGCATGCTGATTTCGAAATTTCTCACATCAGTTTTTGATTTTTACAAAAATTTTACCGTACTGCTACCGTAGCCCCACTATGGGACAGTAGTGAAAATCCATGATGTTGGGCTCGTACATTACGACCGTAACCTTACCGTATAATGTCAAAAACTATAATAAATCATACTCTAACAATCAGCGCCTTCGAAAACTCTTGTAGGAAAATTCCCGGAGACATGTTTTGAATTTTCTTCCGAAACGACTACCATTTCGGAAAATACTACCCACGGGTGGGTCGTAAGTTTGATAAAGGCAAAAAGACTCTGGTCCGAAACGGCAATAATCGAAAACCTTGTCGTGACTGTGTTAAGAAAAGCAGCTACTCTTTTTTCCGGAAATGGCTCGCTGACGCACATCACGTGCGTCAAGAGTTGAAAAATATTCATAAATAACCAAAGTAGTTATATGATACTTGGAAGGACTAAATTGACCTTGTAAAAAACAGTTCTTCCGGAGCATCGCCACCGATAGATTGCCGGAAAACCTGTTTACTAATCCAGTTAATAAAGCAGAATTTGCAAAAGTCAATTTATCAGTTATTTTGTCAGTTCATACAATCATACCAACGTTAGCCTTCCGTCTCAATGCTACCAACTAAATACGAACTACCTTAGCATACTGGCACTCAGATTTCCCTTGGATTTCACAAATGATTTGTCTGCAATGTACTTCGAAAAGTAAAAGGACATTACCACGCCACAGTTATGGTGCTATAAAGAATATATAGTAGAAATGGTTTGTAGTTGGCGTAATTAACACATTGATTTATCCATGGACAGTGATGATCAAATTTGATCACACATTTTCCACAAGATGAACAATGGTGTGATCTATCCGGCTTCAAGGTTTTACACATATAACAATATCTGCAATTTACGCTATAACATGATTTATCAACATCATCAGCTCACTTATTTCTGCCCGCTTGGTCGCACTCAGCTTGCACTACTCCAAGATCTGCAGCCACCCTCGTCAGTATGCGATGTTGCTGGACAGTCTGAAAAAGTATTGCTAATTTAAGAATTAACAGCCACAATTCTACCAGCCTGTTCCGGTGTAGATTTGTCAACTACATAACGCCCATTTTCAAAAGGCGTGCAGCTTTTTAGGTTCTCGTCAACTTCTGCAGGTACCTGTACCATTATATCCAGGTCAATAAAAAGACTTAGCATAAACTCTTGCTCACAGCCCAGTTTGGGGGAATTCTCTTCACGCTCAGGAAGAAAGCAGTCAGTAGCGACCAAGAAGCCATAAAAGCCAGCGACACATGGATGCAAATGTAGAGAGTAGCTTGCAATGATGATTGAACGAAGTATCCGCAAACGATGGCAAAGTAGACGTAAGTACTGGAATCATAGGTTTCAGCCATAGCTAGTTCAAGGTGTCAGCTAATTTTTGCAGCAACACCTTAGACCCTTCTCTTATATGCACCACAAGCATGCCATTCAAGAGAGGAGAAACAGAGTAAGGAGCGATAAGCCAAAATTAGGCGGAGTGAGCGTAGGCCAAACAATCTTTTAGCTAAAATCTCCAGGTTTCTTTGCCTTTTCAACTTTGGAAACCCCATCATATTTTTGGCTTCGTGTTCTCTCTCATTCCTGTGCTTCTTCATGATGTTCAATCCAAGGAAGCCTGCCATACCAGATTCCTTAAGAGCACACAAGAGAGAAGAGAGGGAAGACTATGTAATGATAGTAATGAATTGCACAATGAGCCAGTGCGCGGGATTCTGCTGGAATCTTGCATCAAACAAGAACAGGCCGTTCTGTCTTTGGTTAATTTGTTTTTTTTTTTGATAGTATCAAAAGAAAGCCATGAATGTAATGTCGCGCCTGTACATGAATTTCAGCAGTTTGATGCTTACGGAGTGTAGTATGTGTCAGACTAGGACGCTCTTACAGTTGTCTACGCAACACCGTGCAAGTGGTAATGGACGGCCGCGTTTTGCAAGTTGCAAAGGTGTTCGAGATGATATTTTACTTCGAACTTCTTTGACGACCTGATCAAAAATGGATGCGTTTCGATCCCCGTCGTCTGATAGCAAAGTGATAAACTGTCCAATAGCATGAAATGCTGAAGTTGGCCAAAGACGCGCATTTCACCATGCGCTGAAGACAGGATCGGAAGCAAGGCAATGTCGGGCTCAACCTCAATCTGAGGATTTATTTAGCTCGGCTTCATCGTTGTGTCGGTCCCGAAAATGTATCTTAGAGTGAGGAAGTATCAAAAAGAGACTTTTTCGGATATGTACGGTTATTCCCTTTTCACGTTTAGCAAAGACGAAAGACAATGATTACTCCCAAGCTAAAGAACAGAATATGAACTTCAACAACCCCATTTTGATCGGACGATATTTTGTCGCGCCGAGTGGCATATAAATGTTCTCATTGCTGGAGGCACCTGAGTTGCAAAGCAACATGTCTGAAAGTCAAACCATGAAGAATAAATGGATGGTGCTGTGTCACTGTGATTCCTAATCAGACTTCCACACTTTTTGATACTGCGCATCATGTACTACGTCATCGTTCTGCGGGTGATGAAGATCAGAAAGAAGAACCTAGAGCGATAATGTAAGCTTTTTCTTGATGTGTACATTCTTTTGAAAACGCTCAAAGTGCTTTGTCGTCCGTCCCTGTGATCTTCCTTTGGTAGGCGCCAGACTAACCGAATGCCTGCTTCACAGGACACTGCGTAGTTGCTGTCACTTGATGTCACATTGTAGGGATATCAAATCGGTTTAGTTTGCTACAGCAAAAATTTTTCACTGATAATGCTTTTTACCATTCTCTCATTCGACAAGGCTTTTTTTTTACCATTTCTTCGAAACTACTGTTGTTGCGAGCATCGCAAACGCTACTTCGACTTTCGTACAACACGACGCCGAATGACATCAGCTTACTGGTTGCTCCGCGTCCTGTTGAAGTAGGCAATCGCTTAGTTTGGCGCCTACCTTTCGTTGCATGAAGCCGTATAGCTCTAGCACCCTCTACCTGCGCTTTCCCATAAGAAGAACCATTAGTACTTTACCGCAAACATTTGGAGTGATTATCTGCTTCATACACTCTTCACATAAGTCTATTTGGGGTGACTTAAGCATGAAAATTGTGAAACCAATAAAAAATGAATTTGGGTAAAGCATTATGTCTTTTCAGAAATGGCAAGAGCAACCGCCTTGTTGTGTTTCGCTTCACCACGTGCTTTTTCATACAATCTTATATACAAAGCTGAAAGTCTTTATGTATGTCTCTACGTATGTGCGGAATAGAAATTTTTCCGAATCGATTTGGACCAAACTTGGCACACATATACTTCGGAGCAGGGAGCGTGCCATGGGCTACTTTTCGTTATCGATCGATATCGATTTTATCGATTTTTATCGATTTTTTTGAGAGTTCACCCACGGGGCTGGGAGTTGGCACAGGGAGATAAGTGAGCATGGCGATTCCGAATACAATACAGTGCTGGACATAATTATTAGGTTGGTCCGAAAGTTCGTTCGCACCATTTTCAAAAAATCATAAGTTCTTTTCCTCCCAACGATTTTGCGCATTTCAAATTTCATCAGAAAGCGTAAAGCATGTAGTTTGCAATAGTTCCTCGGAGACTTTCCAGCACGTTCAGATTGCAGAGATAAAAATGAAAGAACGAAAACATCCGAAATTCGGAATTTTTGAGAAACGATTCCAAAAATCTAGAAACTGCGCGATAAAATCCAGAAAAGCCATTATCCTAATTTTTCTTATATTTGATTACTAACTGAGTTAAGTTTGTGCTGATCGAGTTCTTCTTTCAAAAGTTATGATTTTTTGAAAAAAAATGCCGAAAAATCAATTTCTTAGGAATTCTTAGGAAAGTGATTTTTCGGAATTCTTTTCAAAAAATCAAAACTTTTGAAAGAAAAGCTCGATCAGCACAAACTTAACTCAGTTAGTAATCAAATATAAGAAAAATTAGGATAATGGCTTTTCTGGATTTTATCGCGCAGTTTCTAGATTTCTGGAATTGTTTCTCAAAATTTCCGAATTTCGGATGTTTTAGTTCTTTCATTTTTATCTCTGCAATCTGAACTCGCTGGAAAGTCTCCGAGGAACTATTGCAAACTACATGCTTTACGCTTTCTGATGAAATTTGAAATGCGCAAAATCGTTGGGAGGAAAAGAACTTATGATTTTTTGAAAATGGTGCGAACGAACTTTCGGACCAACCTAATATAAAGCCACTCTAGAAATCGTCGTAATTTGCGTTCTTGTTGATGAATCTGTGTGAAACTTTGCTGTATTGTGCGCACGTCAACCAACCATGACCCCTCAAAACGGCTTCCAGTCTTGTTGAGTTTGAACGGGAAAGAATGAAAAATTTTGAAAAAGCCCTTAATGAAAGCTGGACAAAATTATAAAGCCACCTGGTTTTTCTAATCACTATTGCATTCCCTGGCTCTCAAATTTTTTTGTACATTTACATCCTAGTCATCCTACTCAAATAGAAGCAATCACTGCATTTTTTGCTTTCAAAAGCATCAAAAGTCATTCTGCCTCAAAGAAGCTGGTTTGAGGAGTTTTCAAAGTCTTGTTCATTTCAAATAATAGTCATAAAATCTACTAAGCATTTTCGATAGATGAGGTGAGAAGCGCTTCCATAAACTCTGCGTAATCGCTGAGATTGACGGACAGACTCCAACCTCACCATAGGGTTGTCACGCTTTTCTCCACAAAACTCTGTTTGCAATGTTCTTAAAGCACTGGTGATTTATCACATTGCCTACATGGTGATGCAGCTTTTGCAACAACTTCTAGTTTTCTTAGTGATGCAGTTGCGATTTAGATATGAAAACTTTTTCAAAAAACTTCCTGAAAAAGATTCGATATAATTCTAGATCTCCTTATTTCCCTCTGTGTTTCATGTCAAATTTCACCCGATGAATGAGATTAGTTAAGATTTTAAAGATTTAAGCGTCTCCTTTTTATCTCGTGATCTGAGTTGGCTTTGATTGTGGAGGGTGCTCTACTCAACATTCAGTGGATGTCAACTGCGGCTGAACCAGATTGCTCAACCCCGAAATTTTTTCTAGTTATGCACACAAGTTCACTGTTGCATGGCTGTCGTAATGGCTACGTTACAGTATTTTCTGTTGCTTGAAAATCGAGTTTTGTGGAGTAAAAGCGTGAAAACCCTATGGTGAGGTTGGAGTCTGTCCGCCAATATCAGCGATTACGCAGAGTTTATGGAAGCGCTTCTCACTTCATCTATCGAAAATGCTTAGTAGATTTTATGACTATCATTTGAGATGAACAAGAGCTTGAAAACTCCTCAAACCAGCTTCTTGTTAAAGCAGAATGACTTTTGATGCTTTTGAAAGCAAAAAATGCAGTGATTGCTTCTATTTGAGTAGGATGACAGATCGTAGGTGTTGCAAATGTTTCATTTTCTAAAATGTAATTGTACAAAAAAAAGTGGTGATTAGAAAAACCAGGTGGCTCTATAATTTTGTCCAGCTTTCATTAAGAGCTTTTTCAAATTTTTTCGTTTTTCTTCGTTCAAACTCAACAAGACTGGAAGCCATTTTGAGGGTTATGGAAGGTTGACATGCGCACAATACGGCTGACCTTCAGACAGATTCATTGACAAGAACGCAAATTACGATGATTTCTAGTGTGGCTTTATAATTATGTCCAGCACTGTATTAGTTTTCAGAATTATCGATTAGTTTTATCAATTTTACTAGCGACCCTACGGGTCGCTAGCAAGTGGGTAGGGGCAGATACAATATAGGGGCTTATTTGTGATTATATATTTTTCTAAATAATTTTCCTATGCCTTTCCTGAGAACATTTTTGCGAAAAGCATTCTACAAAAATTGTTCGAAGAAGCAATAATCTCCACAAATCTTTCGCATTTCTCGAAATTCCTGCTGCAACCATGCATGGGGAATATTATTTTTCTCTCGTTTACCACACTCTTTCTGCAAATTTCCCCTCCTCACAGAGACATTCAGACATCCCCCCCCCCACTTTTCTACCCTCTCAAAGAGAATTTACTCTTCCAGTTCTTCTCCGATTTCCATAGAAGATCGTTATGGAAGTAGAAGAACACCTGTAGGTTTGGAAGTAGAAGTACACCCATAACAATTATGTGTACTACAAAAAACACTTTTCTCTCGGAATCAACTCCGACAGCAACTGAATCAATCGTCTAAGAACTTTGTCAGAAAATCCTTCAATATTTTCGCCAAAGGAATGTGAAGCTTTACTACAAAAGGAGATACCTCCCCGAAAAGCACGACTACTGAGCCACCTAAAGACCGTCAATCATAGAGTTTGCATGAACGTACCAAAAATCTGTTCCCGGCCCGATCAAGTCGCCCTACGTGCCGCTTGAAGACCATTCCAAAATTATAAGAACTGTCCCAAACGTACAAAAATCTGTTCCCCTGCCCGATCAAGTTGCCCTACGTGCCGTTCACAGACCGTTTAAAAATTATAAGAACTGCCCCAAACGTACAAAAAATCTGTTTCCCTGCCCGATCGAGTTGCCCTACGTGCCGCTTACAGACCATTTAAAAATTGTTCCCCTGCCCGATCGAGTTGCCCTACGTGCCGCTTACAGACCATTTAAAAATTGTTCCCCTGCCCGATCGAGTTGCCCTACGTGCCGCTTACAGACCATTTAAAAATTGTTCCCCTGCCCGATCAAGTTGCCCTACGTGCCGCTTGAAGAGAACTCCAAAATTGTAAGAACTGTCCCAAACGTACAAAAATCTGTTCCCTTGCCCGATCAAGTTGCCCTACGTGCCGCTTGAAGACCGTTTGAAAATTATAAGGACTGCTCCAAACGTACAAAAATCTGTTCCCTTGCCCGATCAAGTTGCCCTACGTGCCGCTTGAAGACCGTTTAAAAATTATAAGGACTGCTCCAAACGTACAAAAATCTGTTCCCCTGCCCGATCAAGTTGCCCTACATGCCGCTTACAGACCGTTTCAAAATTATAAGGACTGCTCCAAACGTACAAAAATCTGTTCCCCTGCCCGATCAAGTTGCCCTACGTGCCGCTTACCGACCGTTTAAAAATTAAAAGAACTGCCCCAAACGTACAAAAATCTGTTTCCCTGCCCGATCGAGTTGCCCTACGTGCCGCTTACAGACCATTTAAAAATTGTTCCCCTGCCCGATCAAGTTGCCCTACGTGCCGCTTACAGACCGTTTAAAAATTATAAGGACTGCTCCAAATGTACAAAAATCTGTTCCCTTGCCCGACCAAGTTGCCCTACGTGCCGCTTGAAGACCATTCCAAAATTATAAGGACTGCTCCAAACGTACAAAAATCTGTTCCCTTGCCCGATCAAATTGCCCTACGTGCCGCTTGAAGACCGTTTAAAAATTATAAGAACTGCCCCAAACGTACAATAATCTGTTTCCCTGCCCGATCAAGTTGCCCTACGTGCCGTTTACAGACCGTTTAAAAATTATAAGAACTGCCCCAAACGTACAAAAATCTGTTTCCCTGCCCGATCGAGTTGCCCTACGTGCCGCTTACAGACCATTTAAAAATTGTTCCCCTGCCCGATCGAGTTGCCCTACGTGCCGCTTACAGACCATTTAAAAATTGTTCCCCTGCCCGATCGAGTTGCCCTACGTGCCGCTTACAGACCATTTAAAAATTGTTCCCCTGCCCGATCAAGTTGCCCTACGTGCCTTTGAAGAGAACTCCAAAATTGTAAGAACTGTCCCAAACGTACAAAAATCTGTTCCCTTGCCCGATCAAGTTGCCCTACGAGCCGCTTGAAGACCGTTTGAAAATTATAAGGACTGCTCCAAACGTACAAAAATCTGTTCCCTTGCCCGATCAAGTTGCCCTACGTGCCGCTTGAAGACCGTTTAAAAATTATAAGGACTGCTCCAAACGTACAAAAATCTGTTCCCCTGCCCGATCAAGTTGCCCTACATGCCGCTTACAGACCGTTTAAAAATCATAAGGACTGCTCCAAACGTACAAAAATCTGTTCCCCTGCCCGATCAAGTTGCCCTACGTGCCGCTTACCGACCGTTTAAAAATTATAGGAACTGCCCCAAACGTACAAAAATCTGTTTCCCTGCCCGATGATTGCCCTATGTGCCGCTTACACACCGATACCTAGTTGAAAGCGCCAGCGGGACCCAATACACAAGCAAAAGCAAGGCTGTTATTAGATAAACGCTTCCAAAAGTATCAGCGAGACTAAGTTACTCACGCACTATCTTGTCTACATGTGGAAGCAAGATAATCCTAAAGTGACTGTTCTTAGTTGGAGCATTTACCAAGAGTTGGGAACTTAGATGAATTTAGCTCAATTCACGCTGTTACGCAAATTGGCGTCATTTCAAAAGCAACTAATAAGAGCACAACATATTTGAAAGACACATTCTGGGATAACAAGCTCGAAAAAGCAGCTACAAATAATACATCCGGACACTGGCGACCCTTCTCAAAATCATTGCGATACTCATGACTGCCTTTCGAAATATGTGTGACCCTTTTACGAAAATGCTTGGTCACTCGTTATGAAATTTGGCAGCGTTCCAAAACGCATGCCATTTGGCAGCAATCCAATTCCAAAGATCAGTGTATTTCATCATAATTTTTACGCCTGCGCCCTCCTCGTTTGCCATAATCCAACTATCAGAGGATTAATGGGTAAACAACGAATTCGTTATATATTACGTAGTGATTTGCAAAGTTTGAGCTACAGAGCTGGGACTTGGCATGGGGGGGGGGGGGGTTAGTGGGCACAGGGAAAGGCTGTACAGAGATGGGGGTGGGACCTTTACTACAGTGTTTTGACAGGGCCGAGCGGAGCCGAGTAAGCAAGCTAGTATTTGGTAAAATTACGACTCAATCACGAATGACTGAAGATCATGTACTATTGGAATCTACAATAGTTTTGTTCTTCTGCTATAGAGTCAACACAGTGTAATACAGCATGGGAACCATTTAAATAATATGGAAGAGAAAATCAGCAATCGCGATGAAAAAGATGAATATGACCACAGTTTGTGGATTAAAGTTGCAAAAATCGTGTGCCGTCTGACTTCACAAATCTGCCTCTCTCGCGTACCTGTATGCAAGACCGAGAATCTGGGCAATAAGCAGAATATTTAGCAGACGAGCAAGAAAAAAGCCACGGATTGGATTTCTCTGCTTGTATTCTCGTACATAGGTGTAGATATTAGAATACCACGACATCTAAACTATGCAAAGTGGTATTCAGCACTTATGCATTCGGCATTCAAATATGTACCGCAGATGAAGAGTCAGTGAGATGTGAATCAGTACATGCCCACACTCGTTTAGCACCGACCTTCCAGAGAACGAACTGAAAATAGAGCCACCTCTCAAAAATGTACTCTATCCTCGGATTTGCATATTTGTAGATATAGTGATATCATTTTTCATTTGCATCAACAAGTGATGTTAACACCAAGGAATGAAATAGAGACATTTTGTCAGCTTTATACTCTCCAGTGTACCTCATACACGCATTCGTGCGCGACAATCGCCTGCTACTGTCAAATTCAAAAACGGCCGGACCATGATCAAATTTAGCCAGAGGCCCTCACAGAGCAGAGCAGTTCAAAGTCTTATGTAGAAGTTATCCAAACGAGCTCCGCACCGCAGCCTTGCGATGAGCTTTTGATTATTATACTTGGTTATCGAATGGCTATTAACCAAAAGAGAATTCGCTTCTTGGCATCACATTATGCTGAAATTCATTGATGCTTATGTAGTCAGAATCTGCTAGTAGCAATGCTAATAAAGATCACCACATAATTTCTTGATTGATTAGCAGAAATCTCTTGGTCTCCATATATCATATCGCTATAGATAAGTTTGAAATGCTCAGCAAATCTCTTTACGTATACTTTTCGAAAAGCTTGCTCAGCTTGACCAAAACTGGTGTTATGACAGTATTCGCTGACATCGACGACTCTGCGATCTACGCCTTCTTCGGAGCATAGACGAAGCCATAAGTGTCCACCCTTTCAGAGTCAAATGCCAGAAACAAAACAAACCCGAGGAGGACAGTTAAAAGACTATCAGAGCCACAAGAGACATTCTCAAATTATACGTAGCACAACACATAGCTGAGAAACAGACCACCTTTTTGCAGACCTATGCCTCCAACTTCTATATATAGCCTGAGTGTCCTCACGTCAGTCAAACCACAGAGGGTCAGGTGACGAGTTCGTTGGTAATTGCAATGCACTCGTTTTTCTGTTCATTTTAGGATTTCTCGCAGCGCCTTTACGTAAGCCTATACCATCCAGACAGACGGTTTTTGGAGAACTCCCAACAGCAGCACCGAAAACTTTGCTCATAACTACACGCACACTCAAGTAGCAAAATTCGCGAACACAAATAAAAAAGCCTTCCAAAATTTTTTTGGGACGCGCGACTGCCTCTCCAGCGACCGCAGTTTCGTGAGCAAATATAATTTTCCTATTATTATTACCTATCCAGCTTTTCACAAAAAATTCTATAACATCCGTATAAAAATTGCAAGTGCCAAAAGTGCCAATTTCGCTTGTAAAGAAATCTTCAAAAAGGCAAAACCAAAGATCAGTTTTTTTGTTTAATGAAAGCCACATTTTGCCGAGAAAGAACAATTTTATGAGACAGTATGGAAACCTTACCGTAATGCAATCGCTCGATAAGCAAGCAATGGAGATTTCTAGAACCACGTGCATAGAAAAATCTAAACCTTGAACTTCTGCCATATAGAACTCTGCGTGATTGTGAAGGTTGGCGAAGTTTGCGATTATTGCGCTGCATCGCTGAAAAGTTTGAGTTTATTTTCCTTTGCGTTTTACGTAATCACTGTTTTTAGGGTAACGAATACTTAATCGTTCGCGTTTTTCAGTCTAAATTTAGCACGGCGACAGCGTCTTACGAGTCAGCGACATCGTGCACGGCGCTTGGGGCGCCAAACTCACCGACCTTCACAATCACCAAAGCCCTATACCTCGCGCTCGCAAGGGAGCATCGCGAAGTCGAAACGGCCGATTACAACAGAACGCATACCGCTGAAAAAAGCTTGAAGCACTAATTTCAAAACAGCTCTTGATGTCTGCAGAACTCCCAAGAGTTGTGGGTGTTATTATCAAATGTTGCAGTTTTAAGTGACTGCAAATGATGGAAATCGTTCAAATTGCTTCTTGCGCTACAAAATAATATTCAAAGAGGGTCAGCATTACATGAAACATGGATAAGCTGTTCCAAGTAGGTTTCAGTACAAAATACTTAAGTGTTGATGATTCTGGCCACTCTCAGCTTTACGTATTTCACACAGGTATAAGTCCATAACTTCCTAGGCAGAACGGTTCTGCAGATATGGAAGGCAGATTTGAATTCAGCGCTTCAAGCTCTTTATGATAATATGCATCTTATAGTAATCGGCCACTTCGACTTCGCGACCCCATGGGCGAAGCCGCCTTCTACATTTTGGGATGTGTCTCTAGCTGCGGAGTTCTTTTGCAGTGGGACTTGGCGATTATTTGGTCAGGAGCCCCGCTGATACAAACGTCAAGATTTTACCAACCTCGATTAGGGGAGCCGGTGCCTTTGAAAGATGTAGAGCTTGAAGAATTTTTGGAAAAGTGTTTTTTGGAGAAAATTGACTATCAGTGCTTTCGAAAGCAAAATATTAGGTTGACACGAAAGTTCTGTCGTTTCATTTTCAAAAATTTGTAACTTTGCGCTGTTTCAACGGATTTGCTTGCCTGTAATTTTATTAGAAAGAGTAAGTCTTTCGCTTTCAAATGCTGTTTTGCGGAGCTTCTGTTTCACACTGGATGCGGAGATAAAGATGGAAAACTAAGACTACATAAGCTACCATTTTAAGTTAGATCGCCAAAAATCGGGAACGCTGCAGAAAAAGCTTAAATCGTCAGCACTTATGTTTTTTGGCCTACTCTTTGCAACTGAAGAGTTTGAAGAGTTCTCTTTAAAGAGTTTGTGCTGTTTGGGCGTCTCTGGGAGAAGTTATGAATATCGAGTTCACTATGGAAAACGCCAAAATTAATTAATTTGTCAATTTTCGCGAAAACCATAACTTCTCACAGAGACGTCCAAACAGCACAAACTCTTCACAGTTGCAAAGAGTAGGCCAAAGAACATGAGTAGACGATTTCAGATTTTTTTGCAGCGTTCCCGATTTTGGCGACCTAACTTAAAATGGTCAAAGCTTATATGGTCTTAGTTTCCCATTTTTATCTCCGCACCCAATGTGAAACAGAAGCTCCGCAAAACAGTGTTCGAAAGCGAAAGACTTATTCTTTTAAATAAAATTACAGGCAAGCAAATCGCTGGAACAGCGCAAAGTTACAAATTTTTGGAAATGAAACGACAGAACTTTCGTGCCAACCTAATATATAGCGCTTTGTTTATAGTATGTGCACAACACTAAAAACTTCGGACAGGGTCATCGATAAGAACCTAGATTACGGCTAACTTTAGAGTGATTTGTAAAAGTGTCCAGCACTTAATAAGAGCCGCAGTTCGTTACCGTAAGATCATAGTAGAATTCCAGCAGCACGTTCTTGCAAAATAGCTGCATTTTCAGAAGATTTCCAAAACATCTAAGATTTTGCGGTTGTTAGAAAAGCTGATTTTACCTGATATGTTCATCGGTGCAGTTTACATTTCTTGAAGCATTTCGCAATGTTTTTGGGTGTATCTGTCGTAGCTTTTGAACGATCCCACAATAATATGCACTGCTTGCCATTCAAATCAGTGGCGCTAACTTACTTAGCAACGTAAATCACCTCTTCAAAATCTTTTCCGAAGCAATATTTAATCCACTTTGGTGCAAAATCCTATCGGAAGTTCCTACCGCAAATCTAAGTAAAGAGGAATTCGATATTTTGCCGCATGTAAATCTATCAAGGGAAGAAGCTTTACAAAAACACATATGCGGATTTTCATCGGCTGTGTTCCTTCCTTGTAGTCAATATAATTGATACGGAACTGATCACACGCTTTCCGCTTTTTTGTAGGCGCTTCGCTTATAATTATCCCACTTCAGATTTGACAAAGCTAGACTAACAAACGCTCAATTCTTTCGGAGACTTGTTTCACAGAAAAAGAAAGCAAATTCGGAATCAGTGTTTAGAGATGCATCTAGTAATATGCATCTCCTATTCAGTCGCCTACTTACACTGGTATCCTTCCTTTTTGAGCTGAAGCCCGCTCTCCCGATATTTAGTGATCGGCGAAAGCCCTTAAAGGCAGTAGGTGGCAGAATGAGACCCGTGGCAAAATAAGGTCACAGGGTAGTAGCCAGGGCCCGGCACGCGTTGGTTTGAAGCGTTTCCGGAAACGAAGTCCCCCATGACTTCGCGAGAATTTACGAAGTTCCTCCTGACGTAAAAATCAGTAGGGAAACCCTTAATTAGGCAAAATAACATTAAAAAAGCGAAAAAAGCACATTTTGAGGTAACTAATACAACAAAAAAGCAAAAAAAAACATTTCGAGTTGATTAAAGGCTCTGTCATTGGGAGTGTACCATTTTAGCGCTCAGAATGTCGAGAACCTCCTAAGCCAACCAAATCTGTGGCTTCAACAATCTGGCAGTGCGTTTTTCGCCAATAGTTCAAAGGACACCGCGTGTGATTGGAGCGCAATATCTATCAAGGCGTATAGATTTGCACTACTTTTGGCTCAAAAGAAGAGGAGAGGCAATAGTTTGATTCGCTCTCTTCACTATATAATAGACTTTTGAGCGTTTTAATCGTCCAAATCAAAAAGGTCCAAAACTTATGTGAACTCTCCGAAATTTATGCTCCGAACCAACCCAGTTGGTTCGGTGGTTGGTCTAGAAACCAACAAATCCGGAACGGGTATTCAGACACATAAGTTTTGGGAACTTTTTACATAACATAGTTTGGAGTGATATTGTATGCTCATAGCCCAAATTCGGAGCCATGTGTTTGTTTGTGCGCTGTAAACAAGCCATTTGTTTGTTTGAGTCTTGCATTTGAAATTCGCGCGCTTGCGAAAGAACACGTTCAACTCGTGAAACCTGACATGTTCGTCGTGTTTTTTGGCGCTTCCTCCAGGACCTCATAAAAACGATGTCCCCGTTGCTTCTAACTCCAAAAACGAAGTCCAGTTTGACCCCAAACCATCGGTGCCGGGCCCTGGTAGTAGCCCCCACAATGGAACCTATGGGCCAAAGTTCGATCTTTCTCTGCCACTTCTAACCCCAAAATTTCAAAGCGAACCTGACCTTGTTTTGCCACGGGTCTCATTCTGCCGACCCACTGCCTTTAAAGGCAGTGTCCGGGCAAGAACTCGATTTTGAGATTTTGTGCTTGCCCGGGCCTTCGCTATGCTGAATCCGAAAATCCACATTGGAGAGCGCGAAAACGACGAAAAGGGCTCTAACACTGGAGAGAAATCAGCAAGTGGGCGGGGTCTTCTACACTGTGAATTCACGCTTCCAGCTTCCATAGCAATTTTCTCGAATCTGTTAGCCGCCCTGACATCACTACCGATCAAGTGCAAACGAATGACTTGCAAGCGGAATCAAAAAGATCGCCCCCGAAGCTGGGAAAGTGAATTCACAGTGGGGAAGACCCCGCCCATTTGCTGATTCCCCTCCAGTGTTAGAGCCCTTTTTCGTCGTTTTCGCGCTTTCCAATGTGGATTTTCGGATTCAGCATAGCGCATAGGCCCGGGTAAGCACAAAATCTCAAAATCGAGTTTTTGCCCGGACACTGCCTTTAAGAGATACTGACGACCAAACAGTAGGGGACATTTTTGGGACCCTTACATGTATCTACCAGTCACTTTGAATAATTTCACTATCATTTACAAGATGAAGGGTTAAGTGCTTTTTCGTAACACATGATGAGATTTATTCATATAAATTAAAATGAATTTATGAAAATTAGCGGAAGTCAGTCCTTGATCTTACTATCTATATTGATTGTAACGGGACCATCATTAACAATTTCAACATTCATATATGCAGCAAAGCGACCATCCTGAAAACATGCTCTCCTCATAAATTTCATTATCATAGAAGACGTCTTACCTGAATTTTCTCATGAGAATAAGATGAACGCATTCGATCCATAAACCGGGCATAGAAGGCAGATGCATCTTCAGGATTCATAGAGTTGTGAAAATCAAGCTTGTTTCCCTTAACAGACATTATAGCAAACTTAATATAATTCTCTAGTATTTACCTTCAAAATTCCATAGAGCGTGAATTGACTAACACAAAGTACTTCAAGACCCTCGTCTTTAACAGATTTGTCCCATCGCTTTTTATCAGACTCAAATAGTCGAATATTCAAAATCTTTCGCACTATATATTCTATGTCGTCTTCTTTATCATCTTTGCTAATCCCTACGAAGACACAGACACCTCGACCGATGGAGCCTACCTATAAAAAAAACATATTTTAATTCAGCTCAAAAATCGATAGTTTGAAGTTATGCTTATGTTGTCCTCAAGTGAGTGATCAGAGAATTTTATTTTTCACCTCAAACTTATAAACTCCACCATTTTTTTTCTATTTTTGATAATTTTTCTCCCAAGATAGGTAGGAAAGAAAGGTGGAATTATTGCTACGACTTCAGCGACTTTTGCGTCCAAAAATTGCGCATAAACATTTCCAGATCACGGGGATTTGAAGGTGAAGCCTTTGCATCTGGTAATGTGTAAAGGCGCTACATCCCCCCCCCGCGCTACACCACCCCCCCCCCCCTTTCGCGAAGACGGGATTTCTAAAAGTTGCTTACACGAGTCATAAAAATATACAAGTGACTTATTTATACTTATAAATAATAAAAGTAGTTTTCACATTTTCCTGAAAATTCAAATTATTTCTATCTCTGAGATAAAGATATAGATATAAAGATAAAGAAAAGAGAATTCAAAGTAGCCTTGTAAAAAAAAATTTTTTTATGGGCGTGGCTGCCTCCAAGGCCCCTTTTTTCAGAATTTTGAGTTTATGCGCCCACAAAAATTGGGGAAGCATCCCAAAAAAATTTTCTGAATGCGTTGTACGCCACGCACCTTCACTCGAAAAAACACCCCCCTCCCCCCCCCCCCCCCCGCCTGAATGAAAATCCTGAGACCGCCACTGTTTACAACAGAACAATCTACTCAAAGCTTCTACATATTTGAGCGCACAATATCAGGGTGAACGAATGCGCTCTGTTGGTCTATTACAACTCAATTCCATCCATGGTGTCAAAAATCATTGGGAAGCGTCTAATCATATTTTACTGGATTCTTTCGATCCGGCTGGTCTGACTACCATCATTTAGCGGAAAATCGGCAGCAGTTTTTTTTTTCGAGCTTGGAACCACGAAAATACTTCCACAAACATCAAAATCAATTTTCATTTGCGAGGTTTGTAGATTTCCGAGCTGACCAGAAATCAGCTTCAATATAACATCCAGGCGGAGTGGTTCAACTGGATATTTGTAGGAACTGCCTCATTCACGTTTTCCAAGATTAAATATATCTAATTGGGAGGTCAAAATAGATCCTAATGTATAAAGAATTGTAACGCCAATTCGAAAAACATCAGATAGCGGGAAACCGCGGCGGTTCCCGAAGCGAAAGCTCCCGGATCCAGCGACTTTAGATTACTGGTTCGCTAGTGATGGTCATAAAATCCAGATGCGTTCAGTTGCAAAGCTGCAGAACTGCACTGTAAATGCTGGATTTCACGTGGAAAACTCAAAAAATTTGAGATTGCAGCACAATGAGTAGAAATCGTGAGGCATGGAAAAGTGTTATGAAGCAAACTGGTAATACTGGGAACTGCTTGTTTAGCTGAATGACAGAACCAATCACCGACAAAGAATGCAAGTTAAAATTTAGCTTACCACTTCTTCCCCGACTTTGACAGACGCTTTAGCCACACGTTGTATAACAGCTCGCATTACCGGAATAATATGACAGTGCTAGCTAAGGGCAAACATTCCTTGTCAATTCATTCATTTCTGCAGCTGTATTGAAAATGGACGTCAATCCAACTAAGCAAACTTCTGTCACACTCTGTTTAGGCGCAATTGCGACGCATCGTTGTTTTGTAATATGTGGCGAATTACTTTTTAGTTTGGCTTCTATTTTCAGTTTGCTGCTATAGCTGGCACCTTGCGGTTCTTCATCTGCTGAAGCAATGAAAACTCAATGTTCCACTTTATTTCTCTTTCACTTAGCTTTAGATGACCATGCGTCTCTTGAAAATTACTTTTTGAAATAGGGGTAAAAAAAACAGTTCCAATAAGCTCTCGTCGCTATTCGGTGAGGGTCGTAGGTCAAAATATTGTTACAAACTACTCGAGAGATGTAAATCGCCATATGATCACCATTACGCACGTGCCATATTTGATCCGCTTGATCCACTTGGTTCACTCCAGTCATTCGCTATTGGTCAAATCAGTAAGCTGACCAATAGCGAATGGATCAAGTGGATTAGGCGGACAAGCGGATATCCGCTTCGCGCTTAATTAACCGATTTGGCCAATAGCGAAGTGGATGAACTGGGTTGGGTCAGACGGATCGAGTATGGCGTGTGCTTTTCGCAGTTTAGGGCAACTTTCTACCACTACAGTTTCGTTACCGTACCACAGTATACCGTAGCTCAAGGGCATGAATTGGATCTTTGGTCGCAAATGCTCACCATTGTTCGGCATATCTTGGACCCGGCCAGACTTCGTCAAAAGCGCGTAAAAGAGCCAGAATTTGCCAAATTTCTCTGATCTTTCTTTTCTCGCGTAAGGATAGATGGAAAGTGAAGAGAAATTGGAGAAATTTGGGCGCTTTTAAGTCTTTTTGACTTTTTCAGCGAAGTCTGGTCAGTGCCTTGAAGTTGTGACATCAATGAGCAGGTGATGATCGTTTGAATAAAAATTCCGCAGAATTCTGGGTTCTCATATTGCAGGAGCAATTTTCAATCAAATAGTGTCTGATATTCTTTAGAGATTCACGCTTGTAACCTTTCTCTTTGGATTTATTCTACATCAAAACCTCTTATTCCAGGGCTGATCGCCCTAATAAACTTTGGCATAATGGCGGCTGGAACAGATGATGAGCGGCCATCTGATCTGCTCCTTAAATGTGTAGATAATGGCCGTGTTGACGTTCTATGTTCTCTTCTTTCACAACTAAGTGAGTGAAACCCTCTGATTTTGTTACTCACTCGATCTTGGAAACTTTCAGAGAACAAAGCCGATTTTCATGACCAAGTCGATGCACTGTGTTGCAAAGATGGCACACTGCTTCATCGCGCCGTCGAGCTAGGTAAACACCATTCGTCTTTTTTTTTTGCCTGTACGTGGCATATATTTGTCTCTATTATCGATTAACATATTTCCATGAATTGGGTCTCATTGTTCAGTACTCTGTTCAGAACCATAATGGGGGTTGTGTCGCCGTTTTGGACTGAAAAGGCTTGAAAGGATGAGGAACATAGGCAAAAAAAAAAGAAACTGCTATGTTCCAATATACATAATGGTTTCACGACTCTTTGTAATGGGTTTATGAATTTGGGATCGAAGCACCTTAACTTTTTTTTAGATTCCGCTGATTTTGTTAGCGCATTGTTGTCAAACGGAGCTAACCCGTGTGTTCAAAACGAAGATGGAAAGACTGCATATCAAATGTGCAAATCGGATGTTGTACGCAACTCATTTGTTCAGGAAGCTCTTCGAGCAATCACTTTATCCAAGTACGTTATTTGTACACACTCTTCTTAGAGATTTATTTTACAAATTTACAATGCCAGCGGCTTCGCTGCCTTTTCTTTCTTGCATTTGATTTTGCTCTTTTCGTGCTCTTTGTTCTTGGCTTTTCCTCTGCTCATGGCTTCTCCCTCTCACAGCTTTCTCTTGCTCTTTCACGGCTTTCTCTTGCTCTTTTGGGCGAGCTTCGTTTCGTTTGCCGAGGTTCCAAGGATAGTAAGCAATCTCCAGTCCGTTTATCGGACCCGATGCCATCATACGCTGTAATAGAACAGTCAAGAAATGTACCTCACCATCTTCTACTACCTGTATGCTAAGAGGAATGTAGGCACGTCTCTCGAGCAGGTTTAAACATCGGCCGTTGTCTACTGAAATTCTTTTCTTACTTTTTGCCGTTAATTTTCCACCTTTTACCGAATACGTCAACCATTGCCTCGTCTTGAACATCTTGTTGATGTTTTGACCCTTTCGGTCCCATCTTGCGATGATGCACCTTAGGCTGCTCTTCCGCTTCAACCTCCATCTTGCACCTTCAATAAAAATTGAGTTTCTTCATTTATGGTGATGTGTAGAGGATAGGATGGCTAGAGCGAGCCTTCATGAGCATACCTTCTTCAAAGCAGTCGATGTAATAAATGGGACATATCAATCATTCATTTCTAGTTCACTTGTTAGCTTACTTGTTTACCAGTGCTTCACCTCTGCTTCGCAGAGGTTCGCACTGGCCGTTATGAACCGTGGTCAACTCACTTTCTGAGAGCTTGTCTCTCAAGTCATGTTCGGTTGGCTGCAAGTGAGAGCCGTAGTTAAAAATGAACCATACCACTATCTTAACCTCACATGCTGTTTGGTATTGTAAATCATTCCTCACTGTAATTTCGTAACGGACAAACTCCACACAACTTCAGATTAAGCCGCTTATTATAAGTCATGATAAGTCGTTAAAGGCAGCGTACACCCAAAATTTGAGTTACCGAATTTCCAAGATCTTTCTACACCGTGTATATACTGGGCCCAGAAGAAGACCAACTGCGTTGGTCCGGTCTCCCAATGTTGCTTCTGAGCGGAGAAAACCCCCCTCAATTTTCTTTCATGCCGCCCCTTTTCTTTCGCTCCGCCTCCTCCGGACGATTCCATAACAGCGTAAGCTGCAATTGCAGTTGCAGTTGTTGTTGCAACATCTGTTGCATTTGTTTTGGGTGTACGCTGCCTTTAATGGTTTATCATCATAGTGTCAGTCTTGCTTTGACTTGTTGAATCTTTGAAACTTATGATATCTCTTTTTTTTTTCTTTGATGGTGCTTACTTTTAGTTTCTTTTGTATTGATACACTCTGAATAGTGCGATATGAAAAATTTGTCAATGAATTCTTCGCCGTCATTTTCAGCAACGGACGATTGTGCCAACTCATCTCTGCCGGGATTCCCGTAGACTCCTTAGACTCGAAGCAGTCGAAAAACACACTTCTTAATTGGGCGTCGGATTTTTCGACTGTTGATATCGTGAAGTATGGTTTTTTTCCTTTTTATGTTGTAACATCAATTTCTTTTTTCTAGAACTTTGTGCGATAGTGGTGCTAGCGTGAATCTGGCCAATGCGAAAGGCGAGACGCCACTTTTCACATCGGTTCGTCGAGGAGATGAGCCTATCGTTCGCCAGCTTCTTGCGTCTGGTGCTGATCCTTCGCGTAAAACTGATAAGGTGAGCGTAAAGCTTTTCTAAGCTTTCCATTTATTTTTTCGCTTTTTCGTTATTGTGTTTTCTATTTGCTTGAATCTGCCGTATAGTTTTACCACGGAGCTGCACCAGTACTCTGTTTTCATTGGATTTCTTCAGGGTGAGGATGTCTTTTCACTAGCAACTGCCAAGGGGGGAGCTCTTCTTCCACTACTTAGCATGGACAAGTTAGTAATCTATCTATCCATTTTCTTCTAGCCCATTCTTTATCGTTAAGTTATTCCCTTCATAAGTCTATCCGATTTAGACTTGCTAGAGAAGTACAAAGAACTCAGTCTTTCGAATCTGTAGACTATGATCGCGTATCCGTAACATCAGAGGCATTCACCACTCAACTTTTCACTGACAGGTGTGTATATTTATTTATTACCATCTATTGCCATTTCATACATCGTTTTAGAACTGAGAAATATACGGAAGGCAAGCCGGAATACTGGACAGACCTGATATGGCCCCAGCCAAAATTAGTCAGGGTTAGCACTTCGAGCGGTTTTCCTCTTCCCAAAGATAATAGGTAAGAAAACTCTTTCCCTAATATACATGAACTTTTGAGTGTGCAAGTTCAGGCTCAAAATTTATTTCTGTGACGCCTCAAGTGGAAGTCCGCGAAGGATGATGCAGGCTATACAAATTAGTGCGCCACTACTTTCTAGCGTAAATTTGGATTTGGAATATCGTGGACACAAGGTATCATTTGCCCATTCAATGTTAATTGTCGAAAATGTTAGATTCTAGACGGCAGACCATGAAATATCGCCGCTAGATGGAAAAGTGACTTGTGGCATCTACGATGATGGACGTCCAGCTGGTGCTTATGCTCTAAACATCGACTCACGCGGCGTGGAAATAGTAGCAAATGATTATAGTGGCATTCGTTATGCGTTTGCTACACTTGTGCAGATAATTAGGCTTCAAAAGTGAGTGGCGTCCATGCCATCACCTACTTCATTCTACAGACTCTTTTTTATAAGAACTGTAGCTTTTTAGATTTGCCTCTCGGCATGCCCTTGGAGACTCGCTCGCGCAAAATACCAGTTACGGCAGCTCCTTATCCAACGGCTATACGCACACGAATGATTCCACAAGTAACGGAAGTAGTGTGTCACCAAAGGAGGGAAGCGCTCCGCAAGTTCGTGAATCAGCGGATCTTCCTGGAATGTCTGTAGGTAAGGCAAAATCAATAGCTTGCTGTTATGCTTAAAACTGGCATTTCAGACGGTACGATACCATGCTTGACAGTACGCGACCAACCGGATCGTCCTTTCCGAGCTATCTTTCAGGACTTTTCTGGTTGTCGGATTCTTAACACCGAAACGGTACTTTTTATCTATCGCTCTTCTTTTTTAATCTTAGTTTGACTTCTTCTAGCTCCTGCAACTGGCGACGCGCTTGTCATATTGCAAAGCTAATTATCTGTTTGTCAATTTCGAAGTACGCACCACAGATCGTTACCAGTTACCATATACCAATCGGGACCTGTTCCATATGATGCAAGTATGCGAGGAATTGTTTGTAACGGTACGTTTTCTCCTCATTCCTTGTTTTTTTTGAAGGAAATTTATCTGATTTTTTGTGGGTCCTTAACCATATTACGCAGCTTGTTCTCACTATGCCAAAATCATGCCCTTTTTTGCAGTTGGTGCCATCAATAGACACTCAGTCAAATTACATCGAAGCTGGCGCTGCACGCGAAATAATTGAGCATTTTCTGGATGATTTCCCACTCAGTAAAACTGCACACTTTGGACCAAATCTATCCAGTATTCTCATTGCCAACAGGAAAGGTAAGAAGATCAGTGCTAGTTGTTTTTATCCACTGGAAAATGATTCCTATAGTGCTTGCGAGCATCCAGCGACGTGTACCGAGAATTTTCTTATCCTCTCATGTCGATGAGAAGAATGCTGCTTTGGTAGGTCTAAAACCTTTTCGCGATCTTATGTGAAAATGTATTTATGCAGCTTTCGTCCATTCCCACTTATGTAACGCTATGTATCGAAGGAAGTTATCCATTCGAAGCAGATAAACTGCTGTCTCCAAGAGTTTCGATTGTTTTGAGATTTTCTACAGGTACTTGTTGTGGTTTATTCAAGTTTATCCACCGCTTGCATCGCTTAGGTTTTTGTACTAGTTTTCCGTTTTGTACGTAAAAGCTCCGGCATTTTTCGGTCGCATTGAAGCAGCTGCACAGAGGCGTTTCAGGTGATGACGGTTACTTATGCGCTGCTCCCGATTCCACGGCCAAGAAGGCAATGTTGGCTGCAAGGCTGGGTGAAAATTGCAATGTGCTAGGTATCTCCTCTTAAAATTCTTCGTTCACTACTTTCAATTTCAATTTTTCAGTTTTTTGCTCTGATCAAATGCTTTTACTGTAGTTTTTTTTGGTCGTATATTTTGTCATATGTAGGAATAATGGTCTGCGATCTATCGACGGGATGCGAAGCGATGCCGCCATCGCTATCTTACATGTCGCTCCTATCCGCCCTAGGCGTAGCTTGGAATGGTTCTTGTGATATGAAGAAGTTCTGTTTCTTACAACCCGCTATTGCTGCACATCATATTCTAATGGATGGGTAAGTTTACCTATGTATTTGTTTATTCATTTATTATCTACTTAGTGTTGTTTATTTTTTGTTTTTATTTTGAGTGACTGTTTTCCATGATTCTGCACTACTTTTTCAGAGATATGACTGGGTTATTCGAACAAGTAGCAACGTTAGGGCGCGTGGAGCATGAATTGACGAAGTTTTCTTGTGGCATTTGGCGTCCGCCAGTGGCCAACTCGACCATTGCGGAGGAGGGAGAGGTTCCATTTGAGGGAATAATTTAGAGTGACTCTGTAATTCTCGATTATCATGATTTAGCTTATCAGCTTCGGTCCAAACAAGAAAATGCCCATTTCGGTCTTTGTTGAGATGATACTGAATCCAGAGAATCTGAATCTTGAACGGCTCACTCCTGTTATCTTCAAGGTTTTCTCTGTTTTCGGTGTTTTCGTTACTAATTCTCCATTTTGCAGAAAGCTAGAATTGAACTGAGACGCAGTCTTATGGCGTTAGATGCAGCTAGAAAAACCTTGCCGTATAACTTCGAGCTTGCTCTAGTATTAGCTGAAATTAAACTAGTTACCGAATTGATGGTTTTGACTAGCAGGTTGGTCAGTTTTGCGAATTATTTTCTGGTATTGTTGATTCTTGTCTCAGATTGGGACAGGCATTATGTATGCATGGAATGAAGACCACGAAAATACGTGAGGAAGGTGCGCCTTATCTACCGGGGCGCGTTGGTGTAGGCCACCTACCGCTCACAATAAGAACGGATCTTGCAAACAAGTATGCAACATCTTTTTTTTATTGAAGCTATGATTGAAATTGAAATCTTTAGCTTGCTGGAGATCCGTACCCAGTTCCAACATGTATGGCTTTCACGGTCTATTGCAAGTACTCTTCCTAATGCGTTAAAAATGTTCGACAACCTATTTAGGTCGGTTTATCTCTTATTTTTGAACCTTGTTTCTCTTTTTATATGATCTTCGTTTCAGGGCTTTGCTACCACCAGATCTTCAGGAAGTTGGCAAACAGCTCCTTTAAATATGTTTTTTGATGTGTACATACATATGTACCCTTTAAGTAATAATATCCAATTTATACAATCGTAGTTCATCCGCTACGTCTTTATTTTTACTCTCATTGTTATCTATACATTGCAAAAGATTAGCTTTAGTATGTATGAAAGACAATAATTTTACCATAATAATGTAAAAAATGTCAAAAATGTGATTTTGTTTGTAGTCATTCCTTTAGATGTCATTAGTGCCTGCGAATTGAATTTATCCAGTGACCTGTCGCTTCAAATTGGCTTTGTAGCTCATCAGAAATTCTTAATATATGATTGTCAAATTATCTGTGATATGGCGAGGGCTGGGATTGGTTGCCAAGTATTATTGAATAAATTTAATATGAACTTCCGCCTTGTTTATTTATTCATTACATCCAGAATGTTACCATATCGCCATAATGAGTTAGCAAATTCCATAAGAACTTGAACTTTTCATAGATGTCATTTGAGCGAATGAAGGAACATCTACATGCTGCCATTCAAGGTGTCAATAGGTATTTCTCTTTGTCTGATTATTGGAAATTTTCCTTGCCTGCTGTTAAATTCCGATGTGGTTGAGCATTCGCTCTGTTTAGTTTTTCATTACGGACGAAAGTCGTAATTTCTTCGATTTCGTCATTTCTCGCCATACATACCTGACTCAAAAATTTTTTTTATGCCATATTTAACTTAGGGTGACCACGAGGACAAAAAATAATGCAGCTGCACCTTTGGTTGAAGAAATTCATTGCAAATTTGAGAAAGGAGATGCTTTAAATCAATAAGCTGACTAAGGAAAAGATCTAACCTTTCTAGATACAACCCAGAAAATGTTGGTGAATTGGCAAAGTGTGTACAATTGATGGCTAGCGAGAACCATTATGACCGTGACATTGTCTTGACAATTCTCAAATTGTACCAGCTCAATCCCGACAAGTAAGTTTACTTTTTCTGATCTTATTTGCGCATTCTGATATAATGCTAAGTTGAGGTATGACGAAGCGATTGTTCGACTCGTTTTGCTAAAGACATTAATGGTTTTGCCGAATAGTGATTTCGCACTTGCGAAATGTTTGATTGATTCTAATCGGTTGGGCTCACAGGTGAGGATGTTAACTTGTAGATGATGATGTGTTTCAAATTTCTTATATTACCTTTTTCAATGTGTTTTCTTTTTTGAATCTTGAAGCGCTCTTTTACATGTTGTTCATTGACATCACATCATTCGCTTTGACTCGACATTTGATGCGGTCTCGTATTGATTACAAATCATATGAGAATAGCTTTTTTTTGAATATTTGACACTGCACATATGGATCCATTTGCTCGTGAAGTCAAGCTCTTGTTCAGGAACTGAAGCGAGTTTTGGATTTGGGGAGCGTCCTTGAATCATGCGACTTCGCAGTATTTTGGGCACTCATGAAAGGAGAATATAAAGTTAGTTGTCGAAAACTTCTCATTTCTTTTTCGGTTCCTCTAAATTCATAAAGCAGATTACAGTTTTGCTTTTAGCCCAGCACGGATGTACTGGAACGGTTCAAAATCCCACAAGAAGTACCACGCATGGTGAAGTCTGTTGTAGGCTTTGAAGAAGCTGTTCGAGTTTGTAAGTATCATACTTAACCTTGAACTCATCTTCCAATTTTTCGTAGACCATCTTCCAATCATCTTTCTTGCAGACGCTTGTCGGGTGATTAGCGTAACTTTCCAAAACATCGAAAAAACCACTCTGAGCCGATTACTTGGAGGTGCTACAGGTGAGAACAGAGCATTTTAATTGTTACTACTTTCAGATAATAAATTTCTTTGTAGATAGCCAAGTGTCAGAATATGCGAAAAAATTCGGATGGGAAGAAAAACCAAATGGAGTGTACTTTATCGCCAATCATGAAGCAACTATTCGCACCAGGAACATTGACGAGAAATTACAGTTTACAAGTAGTAGTGCCGTAGAAGTTTCGCTTAGCCTCATTCAATTTATTATTTCAGATGTTGCCGAAATCCTGAAGAACATGCCTGGAATCCCAACACTCGAACAATAATCGAGAGTGCTAATTCCGGTTTATCTGTTTTGTTTTCCATTGTTTTGTTGTTTTACTGTCTGTGTTGTCTCGGATCATATTACGAAGTCTGTATGTTTTAGAAATTTGAATTGGAATTAAATCTAGAAAATTTTCGGAAATTCGATATCATAGAAAATAATGTACCGGATGCGAGAAGCGAAGGCTTTTGGCTCCAGGCCTTTTTGTGTGTCTGGTAGTTTTTTTGTGCTCATTATCGCTGCTCGTCTTCAAATGAGCGAGTAACTAACTTATCAGGATGGTGCCACTGTAACGGGATCAAATTCCGTCTTATCTAAGCCGGCCAAACCCTATATGTACTGACTTGGTAACCTGCTGGCCCTAGCAAACATTCCAAACGTTCGCACGCCATAGACTATTTGATTGTAGTAGATTGCGTTTGACCTATAGGTCATTTACAAAATGGTGACGACGAATATGACTGCGGTCTTTGCGCCCACAGGAGCATAAAACATTAATGCGAAGCATCACTTCAATGCTCAGTTCAGCCACTTCCAGTGTCTAAATACTATTAAGTTGGCTAATAAATAAATTCGTTTTGATATGCAAATTCAAAACTTCATAACAATTCATGTAACAGCTGTTCAGCTAAGATTTTTTCTTGATAAGATAGCCTCAAGCCTCTACTCTTGAATAGCAAATAGTCAAAGTTTTCTGTTACCAAAAATGACAGTTATAACCATATATGGTCAGGCTTCTAAGAAATCGCTTTTTAAACTTTCTGATTTTCGTTCTCAGCCTGAAGTGAGTACAAAACCGAGTAATTTGGTGGTTGGATACATACAGCCTCTGGCTAGGTGGCGAACTACAATAGAGATTGCGACCTGCTGTTTCTGAATTTCTGCAGTCAAAATTGTAAAAATTTCCAGGCATTTGCGCGTGAAGGTCAAATTTCAGGCATTCCGGATGACTCGAATTTGGCCATCTATGGCCATGCAGATAGTTGGAAATTCAAAAATTTGTTGTATGGGTAGCGAATCTACACTTTACACCTGACTTCAGTTCGTTTTTCGGAACGTGATTTTTCGAATTTTTGGGGAAAAAATCTGACTAATTTTCTTTCCTTCACCATTTCATTATCAGAAAAATTATTTTTGATAAAACAGAGTCAACCATCCGATTCTCCTTGATTTGCTCTCTCCAGTGGTACCATATATACACACAAAAACTGATTTGTGACAATTCTACAAACCGCTAAAAACGACCGAATTTATTTTTTAGCCAACCTAATATAATACGGAACCATATAAGCATTCAAGTAGAGAAAACCAGGACTATGCGGTTCCGGAAATCGTGCGTGTCGCGCGGTCGCGTCATCGTACCGATTTTTCGAATGCCCCAAATGAGCGGAAAAGAGTTTTGAGAACGCCAAATTTCATCCATGTCGCTAAATCATCTTTTAGGTGCACAATTATAACGCCCGCGGTTTCGTAGTGTAGGCTTCTGATTTGAGCTAATAAGCGGGTGTCGGCAAAATTACGGATTGTGTGTATAGTTGATTCGTTGACCGCACGGACTGGACATCACTGCGGAGCACGCGCCGAGGAAAAACGCTTGCCCCAGCACAAATTCGCCATTGTACAAGTCTCTCGTGCTCTCGCAACAACTCAGTTGCTCCGCATATAGTCCGCGGCGTTTGAGCAGTCCATGCGGTCAACGATAGTGCCTTTTTTCAAGCTCGTGTACACTCTTCTTAAGACTAATTCTTCTCTGATTTTCTCTCTGGTGGTTAAGAACCAAAAAGATATCATCACATTTTTATCTCTATAAGCTATTATAAGCAAGCAAAACAAAATGTAGCGTACTGGGAAGCAAGATCAAAGCAATTATGAAGCAAGTACATTTTGACATTGTAAAGCCGCTACAATGATAATGAGATTCATGTCGCCAACGACAAGAAAAAACAAATAGTAATTCTACCGTCTGACAGTTACAGTAATCCTTCCCTTGCAATTTTACTTTAGCGTAGACCACTGCACGAGCAAGTGATTCAGACGGCAGCTGCGCCAGATGTTTGGATGCTTTTCAAAAGAGAGACTGGGTGGAGGACATTAGGTCGCCGATAGGCTCCACCCACACGGACAGGTAGCATGAGACAATAATGGTGAAGGCCAGCGGTCAGTTGCACATGTCCGCGCGGGACCGCCCCTTTCGGCGACTCAATGTCTTCTACCCGGAGGGATCTAACCGGCGAGTCGAAAGTCAAAATGATCGCTTGGCCAGCTTGGTGTCGGCGGCTTTATTTTTTCTTCTACAGAATAATGCCAGTTTCTCTCTGCGTAGTTTCAAACGGTAAAACCTGCCAATCGCCATTTTGCATCATTAGGCTTTATAGCAGTTCATCAGTTTTTATGTAGCCAACAAACGAAATCCGATATTCCGTTTTGTTAATTACTCATCTCATAACTTACAAGTATTTAGAAATGAGCAAGATTCACTTTCGTACATTTACTTACTTAGATACTTGATGGCCCGTCCTCACGTGACGGCGGGCCCCAGTACAGAAGTTTCCATTGATCTCTGTCCCTCGCTTCGGACATCCACGATCTTCTTGGTCGTCGTCGGTGGCTGCGTGCACGAGTTTCAGAGGCGAGAATCGTATCCAGCTGATTTCTCATTTGGTCCATCCTTTCCATGAACACGTCTGCCCATCTCGTTGGTAGTCTTCCTCGGGGACGTTTGGCTTCGCGAGGAATCCACTCAGATGTTCTTAGTGTCCATCTGTCATCTGCCCTTCTCATGATGTGACCGGCCCATCGGTGTTTCGCTTTCGCAACGTGTTCCGCTGGGTCACGGAGACGGGACATTCTTCTCATATCCGTACTGCGAAGTCCGATTAGATGTTGCTTGCGTCGGATCATCTTCAGAAGACTGCGCTCAAACGCTGTGTGGGTTTTCCGTAAAGCTTTTGACGCGGTTACAGCGTCGGCCCAAATCTCAGCTGCATAACAAAGCGCCGGAAGAACGGTTGAGGCGAAAAGGTGGGCACGAAGCTCCGGGTCTGTCCGTTGCTCGATGGCTTCCTTCAGAGGCCCGAAGGCGGCCCAGGCTGCTCTTCTTCTCCTGTTAAGTTCTTTCCTTGAGTCGTTCTCCATGCTCACCGAACTTCCGAACATGTATATAAGAGGAAGTCTCCATGATAGGGCTGCCTTCCAATTCCATTTCTGCATCTTCGCAAAGGGTGTTTCTTCGTGAACTGAGTCTTCTTTCGACTCTTTCGCAGTCCTGTCTTCTCCACTACTTCGTTTGATTCCTTCAACATTGTCTCTGCTTTAGTGATACTGCTCGAAAAAAGAACGATGTCGTCTGCAAAACGAAAGTTAGACAGGAATCTTCCATCAACTCGTATGCCTCTCTGAAAATGAATGGAGATGTCGGCGATTGAGTCGCGACGATCAAATCGCGTGAAGTCTGCCCGGGGCTTAAGCTGGGTCCACTCCTTGATCGACTAGCACTGAGAGGATGGAGTTAGTTTCGACGATGTCAAAGGCTTTCTCGCAGTCGACGAAGGTTAGGATGAGAGGCAGTTGGTACTCCCGGCAGACTTCTGTGAGCATCGAAACCGTCTGGATGTGGTCCATGCAGCTGAATCCTTTGCGAAATCCAGCTTGTTGTTCTTGGGGTTGGGCTTCATCCAGTGTCCTAGATATGCGAGCGAGGATTTTTTTATCCTCGCATGTGTCCCGCTTATGCAGGGTCTGCTTTTTTCTTCAGATGTCTCCATGTTATTCTATCGAGGCAAGATCTTCGTCTATACCAAGTTCTCGCAGATCGGCCTTGACTCTGTCCATCCACCTCATTTTGGGCCTACCTCTGGGTCTTTTGCCTGGTGCTTCCACCGCCAAGGCTAACCTTGTGATGTGACTTTCATCCCTTCTGCGCACATGCCCACACCATCGTAGCCTCTTTTCTTGCATTTTCTGGGCAATTGGAGCGACTTTCATTTTACTCGTATAGTGTCGTTGCAGATGTGATCCTTCAGTGTGACCTAAGGTCCATCGTAGCATCCTTGCTTCCGTGACACTGAGTTTGCGCTCCTCACTCCGCATACATGGCCAGCACTCACGCCATACAGTGCTGTTGGGCGGATAACTGTCCGGTACAGTTGGGACTTGAGTTGCACTGGCATTCTTCTGTCGCACAGAACTCCTGTTAAGGCTTTCCATTTCATCCATGCTGTGTTCATCCTGCCTGCGACCTCCTCTTGTAAGCCTCCCTCCGCTGAGATGTGACTGCCTAGGTACTTGTATGACGTTGTCTTCTTTAGCTCTTCGCCATCAATGCTTATGATACCAGGAGTTTGCTCTCCTATTTCCATATATTCTGTCTTCTTAGTGTTCAGCTTCAGGCCATACAACTTTAGCCTGTTCTTCCAGTTTTGTACCTTGTCTTGTAGTTCCTTTCTGGTACTTGCTATCAAGACCACATCATCTGCGTAGAGAAGTGTCTAAGGAGGTTCACGTTTCAGCGGTTCCATCACGGCGTTCATTACAGTGATGAAGAGCAAGGGAGAGAGAACCGAATCTTGGTGCACTCCAACCTTGATTTATGCGAGCGAGGATAATCTTCGTGAAAAGCTTGCACAGCACACTCAGCAGGCATAATGGACGTTAGTTACGAAGATCCTCCCGTTCGCCCTTCTTGAAGAGAAGGACGGTTCTTGATGTTTTCCACTGGTCGGGAATCTTCTCCTTCTGAAGGTAAGATGTCAGGTGCGACGCGAGAATCTCGTGTAGACGTTGTCCTCCGGCTCGCAGAATTTCGACGGAAAGGTGGTCTGGTCCTGGAGCCGTGGACGTCTTCATGGTCTGAATCGCCGTGCGCACTTCAGCAGGTAGAATTCGTGGTGGTACTTTTCTAGTGGGAACAACGGGCATCGGCACGGGTGTTGATGAGCAGAAGAGGTTGGTGTAGAAGTTCTTTGCGGTAGATTCCATCTTGTATCGGGAAGAAGTCGGAGTCCCGTCTTCGTTCAATAGTGCAGCCAGCGGTACGTGATATTCACAGAGGTCCCTTCGGCACTTCTTGAGACTTCGTCTTCCTTCGGCTGCTCCCAGTATCTTGGCTTGCTTGTACTTCCTGAGATCCTCCTGCAAA